TCAACCGGAATTTAATGCCCATTTTTGAGGGGATTGGTTGAGCGATTCCGATTCCGATTTGTCAATGCAATTAATCGTTCACTTGTTTGCATGTCACACCGAAAATAATAAACCCCATCTGATGTGACATTGAAAACGCGATTATGCATGGATATCATAAATTTCGTTAATAGCATTTTGTCAGCGCTGGTAATTAATGTGTAATGTGCGCGCTGAATAATGAATCATTTTCGCCAATGAATAGATGTCAACAGCGGTTTAATTGTCTCATTTGTGGGCTGACCTTCTTGTGAGCCAACTCACGTAGCTACTGTTCATTTTAAAGATACAATATTCAAATTATTGCAGATTTTTCTTGGTCCTCTGGACAAGTGGAAAATTTTTATTCTTTTAGTGACCAGCAAACTTTTGATCCCCCATTATTTCAATCTTTTTTTGGGTTCAATGCTCTGACTCTTTCGAGAAGGTCAACAATTTGGGTGGCTGCAAAACAACTTTCGAAAAGTGCAATAACTGCAACTGAGGCTGTGGCATGCCACATTTCAAGGACAAGGGCAGATAATTCACGAAAGCCACAGGAAGATGAAAATCAATTTTTGTGAAGTTGGCAATTTAATGAGGGTCTTAATTTGAAAATCAATCTGAATATCCAAGAATTTTTCCTGAATAAACCAATAACTGTAGAAAATGTTTGAGACTTATTACAAAAAATTGTTACATTTTTTAAAAACTGTAATTTAAATTAAAATAAATTTAAAAAGTGATAATATTATAAACATTTACAAAAGCAATATTTTAGTTTTCTTGAATTCCCAGGATTAAGTTTTTGGCTGTTAATCGATTTTAAAATAATTTTTTAAGATATTTTTAGAAAATCATAATCCTACACGAAATGTAAGCTTTTTTAGCAATGAGTTATTGTGACTCAAAAATCAAACTGCCTTTCGAAAACTTTCTTTCTCTCAGTGCTCGCCTTTCCGCTTCCTTTTCCACCTCACTGATACTTTTGACGTCACTCCCCAGTCGATTTGCATATTCGCACACTGCGCAGACGGCCAATCCCAATAATCAAGCCCCCGAAATGCGGAAGTCTGCGAATGCAGTGCGAAAACCGCTACGCATGCGAAAAACTCGTTTTCCACGGCCCCTTTCCATGCCCCACGCTTCTCCCCCATGAGAAAAACACGCAATGATCCAAGTAAAATGACCTTGATATTGCCAACGGGCCAATGCGTGTGTGTGCGTGTGGGGAAACTGGTCCAGTGGCTATAAACCACGTTAGTTATGCGACACTTAAATGGCTCTACCGACAACTGATTTCTGGTTAAGGTTGCTAAGCCGGCGGAAAAGTCAAACGGTAAGCGAAACCTTGGCCGGGAAAAGGAAAATGCTATGTGAAAATTCAGCAGATGCGCAATTAGCGGGCACTTACACGGTAGTTTGGGAATATATATCGAGTTACAATTTCATTAAGGATGGGTGATTGTAAGTCGGATTTGGATCGACAGGATTTGGGCAAAATACAGAGAAAGAAAAATAATATATTTCTGAACAAATATAGGAATTTTTAAGGATAATAATAATATTTGAGAGATTTTATAATATGACTTCTATAACTTCGGACTTTAAATATTCTTTAATTTTTTTGTAAATTATACAAAATTTTTCCTTAGTGCATTGAGAGCAGTCTGACTGACTTTTGACGACTGTGCAGGGTCATCATCCATGAATCAGCTATCAAATCACCATCTCCCCATTTCAGACTCTCTCTTTTCCTCCAGGAATAAATGGATCGTATTTCCCAACAAGTTTAGCGAGTTTCGGTTTTGACTTCTGATGGAAACGAAGATGCGGACAATAACGATGATGGAACCGATAAGCATTTAGCATTAAATTTTTGTTAACCTTCCGCGCGGAGTTGACTCGCTCGCTCGATTTCGGAAAACGCTCGACTGCATCTTGAATTACAAATAATCGCAATTGTCTGCCCATAGATCTCCCTGCTTGTTTTCGCTTTGTTCGGGGTGGTTCCTATAGTTTCCTATAGTTCGCTAGCCTGGAGTTCTGACTCAGACTTTTGGGTTCGGAATAGCAGCTGAAATAATTGAGAGACAACGCGGAATTATGGCAGCATGGATGTGGAAAATGCTCTGCTTTGCATGCAGATACAGATACATCCCCCTCCCTGAGGGCTCAACCCTCATTATCTGTTCGCCGATTGTGATTAACTCGGCCAAAGTGAAAGCCTGACAAATAAAATGCTGAATAGGACTCTCGTCAGCCGTCTCTTTCTGGCCACTGGCGACGACGGGCTCAATCAAAACAGAAATAACAACAAAATCAACCTCCTGATATAACTCCCTCCCTCGAAAATCCTGGGTGGCAGTATCGTCGCATCAGGCAAACGCCTCGAAATCGAAATGGAAATCAAAAAGGCAGCAGCAGAGAGGCCAACGGAAGAAGGACGCTTTCGGAGTACAGTGATCCTTCAAGGATAGCTGACTAATTTATTCAAAATATAAAATGGAAAGACTTTGTAATCTTAACGAATATAAATAAAAAGAAGTAATAAAAAAAAAATATTATATACTAACTAAAATATGTACATATATTGCAGAAAATTCAATTGTTACAAAAAAAGACTACAATTTAAAAGTATTTATTACATTTTAATAATTCCTAATATTTATTTTCTTACTAATCAAAATATTTAAGTATACATAATTTGTGGTGTGCTTCTGTTGGAAAAAAGTTAACATCAGTTTTGACTTTATTCGATTCAAATAATTTTAAATAAAAATATTTATCTATGAGTAAATGTCATGCTAAAAATTTTGTTCTTATTTAAAATTGTTCCTTAACAGTAACAGTTAATCTTTGTTAGAACATAAATATTATTGCAAAGAGGTAATTCCAAGTTTTCGAGTGAGTACTGTAGCTGGACTGTTTCAACCCTCCGATGGGCACACCCTCAAGCTAATCCGGCCATGCTGAACTGCTCAACTTCACCTTGGATCCGCTGCTCTTGCCCTCGCCTTCTTATTCGAGAACATATATAGCCATATTCCGGGGCTATATGATGTCTGCTATAGCTGCTGTGCTTGTTGTTTGTTTGTCAACTGATTTAATTTCCTCCTCCTTTTTAACGCTCTGTGTTCTTTTCCCGATCACCGCCCCCTGCTGCGGGAGGGCATTCTCCGTTTTTGGCCACACAAACAAAACCCCGTCGGATAATGACGATGGTAATGATGATTATCATGATGCTGATGACGATGGCGACTTGCAAAAGGGCAAGTAACGGTGTAAATGAGAGTGTTGCTACTCGAAATGTACGACCACATGCGGCTACTTTGTGTGTGAGAGTGTGCCGGTTTGTGAGGAAATCGCTCATTAAAATATGGAAAACCGATTTGCATACCTAAATGCTGTAATTCTGTTTATCTATGGAAAAATGCTGGGAAAATACTTGCCGTAGGCTTAGAAAATGTTCTTATAAAATATGTTGTTCCTCAAAATCCATTTTTAAACAACTTTAAATAGTATAAATATTTCCTAAAAATGGTACAAAAAGTTAAAAGTTTTAATCAAAATTTAAATATTATTTCCTGTGTAACTTCAAGCCTTTCTGGGGAATGCAGATCCGTTTGGATCGTTAGATCATAAATAATGCCAAAAGTTCTCTACAAACATTATGCAAAGTGGGCGGTGGGATGAGGTGGGGGCGTGGGCGTACAGCATGTGGGTGGGCGGCCAACTGTTTTGTCCAATAAACAAGCCCAAACAATGCCAGACATTTCAAACACAATAAATAATTGAAGCCAGCGCGGAGTCAACAAGTCAAACACATTGCAAAAACAAAATAAAAATAAAAAACTCCAACGATTGTTGCCAAGCGCTTTTGGCCGCACCACAAAGTCCAGCTTCTCAGTCCGATCTAGATATAAATCAACTTGGCCATGCACATGCAGAATGCAAATCCGAAATCCATCTAAAAGCCAAGCCACTTTGGCTTTTCAACTTGAAGAGGGGAGAAAAAAGTTAACAACGCTCATTTGGCGAATTTCCCAAGAGATCTGTTTGGGAATTATTATTTCGGCAGAGGGCAACCGCCCAGTTATTTATCATAATCGACAGTTTTTCACACTGTGGAATAAAATTATTAATTTTATATTTTGTAGCTTTAGCTAACTTTATGGTTCATCCTTAAGGAAAATTGTTATCAGGGGTAAATATCTGGAGTATTTTATGACTTTCGTGTGGCCACCATAAAAATATTTTATTGAAAACTATTAACAAGTTACTAACTGCAGGGCATTGTGGCTTACATAACTTTAAATTTCTTTCAATTTATTAGTTCTCTTTAGTAAACTTTATCCCATTTATAAATTTAACCTATATTTATTAAGTTTATATTTATAGAATAGAAATTGGCATTTTTTAAATGATTTAATCAAAAATATCCTCATATTTATCTTTATTTTCTGTGCCATTTTATTTTAACCTATGGCATGTGAAAATTGCATCATTCACAGCAGAACCAATTGATAATTCCTGGTTTTCGACATCCCCCCGCCTATGAGGATACCTCCGCTGAAGCTGGAAAACTTTTAAAATAATTAAAAAATAGTTTCGTCTTGGGCTTGGGCCTGCTGCAGCCAGAAACTGGGGAGCTGGGAGCTGCATATAGTATATGTACGGTATAAATATATAGAAAGCAAAAGTTGGCGCTCAAAGCGAAAGAGATCGAAACTGGTAAAACGACTTGGCAACACGACCGCGATACCAATACTCGCCCAAAGTTGACTTATTGGAGCACTTAGCTCGATTCTTGTTATTGTTACGCCGACTTGGCCGACTTGTTGTTGCTTTTGCTGTGCCGTTAATAGTTATAGTACCAATACAATTACATGGGCTTGGAGTGCCTAGGCGGAGTCGATCCAAGGTTCCCGCTCGGACTATAAAAAGCTTGGGCGGCGCCGTTGCGGAAGGCAGTTAACTCCACAAATCCGTTGCCGTCGGTCCAAATCTCTCGAAAACAACCGACTTGTAAGCGTAAAGGCGCGTGTGAATCCCCTAAAAGAGAGAATAAATATTGTGCAGTTTACGCTTGACAAGGATATTCAAAAAATACCCCCTTCAAAAATGTTCAGATTTGTGAGTTGTGTTTTATTAAAGGATGAACCTAATGACTCAAACTATTAAAAGCCATTAAGAACAATTATAGAAATTACTAATAATTTTAAAGTAAATTAAACTAATATAAATCAGTGTAAAAAATCATAAAGGATTAATAACAAGTTATTTAAAAAATCATTAAGAAAACATTGACCATTTTATAAAAAATTAGATTTTTGCTTGTTTATTTTCCTTGAAGGTTACCATTTTGATTTAATTATTACATCATTTTTCTTAATTCAGATTGTTTCAAAGAAAAGTGAAATAATAACCATTTTAAATTCATCAATGGAATGCATTTGTCAGTTTTGTACAGCCAAAATAAATAGCAATTAAATTTCCATTTAATAATACTCGTTTCTGAATTTAAATATTTTGCATACATTTCTGTTAAATTTATTTTTACATATTTAATCATTTTGTAATCCCTTCCAGCTTGCATTGACCACCTTGGTGGCATTGGCTTCCAGCCAGCACTATCATCAGGATCCCAAGACGGCGGCCATCATTAGTGAGCAGCGTTACCTGTCCGGAGATGGAAAGTTCGGAGCTGCCTATGAGCAAGAGGATGGCATTAACTTCAAGGAGGAAACGGATGCGGATGGTACGCGTCACGGCAGCTACAGCTATGTGGATCCCTCGGGCCAAAGGCGTACGATTTCGTATACGGCAGGCAAAAATGGGTAAGGATACTGCTAAAATTAAATCTCTCAATTTTCATAAATTTTATCTTTAATTTTTTCCATTTAGTTTCCAAGCTTCTGGAGATCATTTGCCGCAGGCACCACCTGCACCACCACAGCCCGTGCCAACGGCGGGCTATCAACCACAGCAGCAGTACCAGCCTCAGCAATACCAGGCTCCTGCCCCACAGCCTCAGGCTTCCTTCCGCAGCAACGATTACGGCGATGATGGATCCTACGATCCCCGCTACAACGATCCCTCCTTCGGCCAGAACCAGCAGAGCTACCAGCAGCCCGCTCCTCAGCCCCAGTACCGTCCCGCACCCCAGCCCGCCTACCAACCGCAGCCCGTGCAGCCGCAGCAGCAGCAGTATCAGCCGCAGTACCAGCAGCCCCAGCAGCAGCAGGCGTACTACACCACCACCACCCCCAACCCCCATCGCTTTTCGCCACCCGGAAAACTCTCCCTGAACCGCACGCCCGATGGCTTCACTTACTCCTTCAACAAGGTCTAAGTCTTAATTTCCATTCCTAACTCAGACATGTTGCATCTTCTCCCTCTTTTCTTATAACTATAATCCTCCCCTCAATCACTTTCTTCTCTCTTTTGACTCCATCAAAACTCTTGTGTGATATGATTAAGAGCAAATTGTAACTTTGTATCGTACTTTCCTATATTCGTACTGTTTGTTTGTAATTTATAATGCTACACAGAGAAAATTAGATGCCATTACCCCAAGAAAAGGGGTAATATTTTTGAAATATAAAGAAAAAACAGAAATTAAGAACTTTTTCTCTGTGTTCTTCCCAACTTTAAAAGTAATTTTTAAAAAAGCGAAGCGAATAAACTTCGAAGTTTTTAATTAGAATTTTTAGTACTTTGGGCCTTGGGACATCTGAGCAATTTGTATTCATAGATGTGTAAGAGCAATCAATATACGAAGGAAACCAAAACCAAGTTCGTGTCCTGCAGTCTTTTGTTTTTTGGCCATTGGCTTTTAATTTAATTTCCAGCAGATTTATCTAAACACCTCGGGTGGTGAACGCCCACTAAAAAATGGTGCATTACACAACCGACTTTCGTGCATGCGAAACGAGTTTCTGTTACGATTCTATACGGCCAACAAGGAAAGACCTCAAACGGGTTTCTTGCCCATTTGACAGTAATCTTGGCCAATTGTGCAAAATTCCAATGAAAATGAAATCAGCTCGGTGCTGGCTTAGCCGGAAAACCATGTGCAAGTGGGGGTGGCACAGGTTTTTTATAAGGGGATTGGGTCACTAAATCAGTTCCCCAATGGCAGTTCCATTCGTCAGGCTCCAGTTGGATTAGAGCAACTTAATTACATCCAAATATTTTGCTCACTTTTATGCACCATCGAACGCAAGAATGCCAGCTAATTGGCTGCTTCCTCTCACCTGTTGAGTTCTCAGCGGATTATTGCATGTCTGCAATTACAACTCAATTTGGACACTTAATTTATATCATAAGAAATATGCAGAAGTTTATTATGAATTGTATCTTGGTTTTATTATAATAATTTTCTTAATATTGTAATAACTGCTTATTAAATCAATTTAAAGACTTATACCTAAAATTTTACTTAATTAATATTATATGACTAGAATTATTTTATAGGGCTTAATGGAAATGTAAATTTTATGTACACCTAAAAAAATAAGCTTGCAAATCTTTTTATATTTTAAAAATATTTTACAAAAATAAAACATATTTAAATAAATAAATAATGAAAATATTTGAAAGGGGATAGATTTTCTTTATTTTTTACAGAATCCGTTTCTACTTTTACATTTTTAGGTTTCAGTTATTATTTTTCCCTGTGTACTTTCCACATCCACCGGTTGGCATTCTTTTTCACCGTCGACAGCGATTACATTAACAATATTAGCAACACTTTTCAGAGCTTAGCTTTCAAGGTCAGTTTTGTTGTGGACTCGAGAGTCCGGCTTGGAGTTTGGATTTTGCCTTTGCTGGCTTGGGCTTCTGTTGAAATTGCCCAGTCAATTAAGAAAATCAATTTGGTTTTGTTTCTGGCTGCTTATTGTTTTTTATGATTTCTTCTCGGCGTGCCTTTATGCACCCACTTTTGCGGCAATCGCAATCGATTGAATTGTATTGAGTTGGATTGGCTTGCTCAATTGCGGATTTTCGTTTGGCTTTGCGAAAGAGGTAAAAGTCAAGAATTTACCTGGCATCGAAACAGGTGTCTGATGGGTGTGTTGGTTCTATTTTTATGATTGACTGGACTTATTTTTAAAATGGCAAACGTCGCCAGATTTGGTCGCGAGATCTCAGGCTCCATTTATGGCAAGTGGGTGTGATGAACCGGGTTTCAATTAAATTGATGAGTAATTAATATCTTTAATTAAACTGGCAGATTAACACTTGGAAGCTAATTTGTCATTGGGTTAAGTGATTTAATATTATTTTTTAATGCCAAAGAGGAGAGAGATTTGATAAGTGGCGGATCAGGATTATGTTGGGAGGGGGTTTTCAAAACAATTTTTTATTTCAAATTTTCACCCCGAAAAGGGAGGGGATTTATCCCAAATATATCCCCGTGGATCCACGCATGGATTTGAGCTCAATTAAGTGACGAAGGCAGTTCATCAGACAATATCTCAAAGCTAAGACTCGAACCAAATGTATAGGGGCTTTGTAAACAAATTCTACATGGCGCCACTGTGCTGTATGTAAAGTGATTACACTGAAATCTCTATAGGTTGAAATCGAAATGTTGATAAACACAGTGGCGTGGCAGGGGGATTATCGGTGTTCCACCCCTTAAATCCTGTGCAAAATATGGTTTTCAGAAGTTTGCCTTAATAAATGAGTACAAAAACGCGCCTCTACCACACATCTACCACTGGATAAACATAATTTCGAAATTTGTTCCTTATAAGTTAATTTTTTCGTAAAAATTTAAATGTAAAAATATGTTTTTTATAATATTTAAAAACAGTTTAATCAATTTTACCAACAAATGTAGAGTTGTATTAAAATTGGTAGAGAAATCCTTGATGATTTCAGTGGGCCTTCTCCAAATGTACGGCTCTCAAATCCAAGAAAAACCTTAAATCACAGCTAAAGTAAATGGTCTTTTATTATTTACAACACTACTATACAATACGACTACATTACATATTTATATCGTTATATTTTAAATTTAAATTAGTAATTTATTAAGGACTAAGTGATTTCCCATTATACATTGATGACCAGTGCTGTGGACCGGTACTTTCGCTTGGGCTTGAGGATGGTCTTGGGTGGTCGATTGAGATCTCCGCTTGGAGGACGTCGCCTCGAACGCGATCCCTTGGGCGGAGGTGGTGGTGGGTGGTCGATATATTTACTGCGCAGATGCCCGGGGCCACCAAAATTCGGGGGATAGGCCTCAAAGTCCTCGATCTCGAGATCTGGCCGGGATTCCCGCTCCTGTTCCTGAGCCTGGGCTTTCAGGAACTTTTGCAGCTTGGGATTGTTCAGCAGCTGGACTTTGATGGCCTCGTCGAGGAGTTTTTGCTGATCCTCCAGATAAGCCTCTATTTGCTTCTTGGAGGCCACATTCTTGTAGCGATCATGGGTCTTGGGTCGCGGCAATGGAACCACTTCGTAGTCATCGTGTTCGGGTTCGTACACACTATATGAGTTGCTGCTGGAGGCGACGGTTGCCTTTGGCGGAGGCACCAGATGAAAGGGATCGGCCTCCGCATCGTATTGCACTGGATTCCACTTTGATCTTTTGGGCGGAGGTCCCACATCCTCACCGGAACCAATATGAACATCGGATCCATAGCCGGTGCCCTTATGAATATCGGATCCATAGCCAGAGGCCTTGTAGGGAATGGCTGTCACATATTTCGGCTGCTTCTGGTAACCGGAACTGCTGCTCTTCTTGGGCACCGTTATCGGATGCTGGACGCGGATCTGGGTGCCAATGGTGTATTCCCGACTGTCCTGCACGGAGGATTCCCCGGAATATTCGGCCGAATTGTAACGCTCACCGGAATAGTCCTCCTCCTCTTGCTAAAACATTAGAAATATTTACATTAAATGCACTAATTAGTTCAGTTTTAATTGATGTAGTTGGAATTTTTTTAATAAAACATTTATATACAAAATTATTTAATTTGAAAAGTTTTTTTTGCTGTAACTTATCCCAAAAGGATGCCAAATCTAAGAGATTTAGTGTTTTATACAACTAATAATTCAATATATTGAATCCAATTACTTTCAGGAGGATATAAAAAATTTAATATTTTGATCCTTTTTTCACATTTTTTATAAGTGTACGAGTACTATCATATTTTTTTGCAAAAAATGTCAAAAATAAAAATGTTTAGATTTAAATGCCAATCGATTGGGAATTTATTTACGAGCTCAAATAGCGATCTAGATTTTTTGTATAAATAGGCATTTTCTTTTTAGACTTTTCATAAAGTAAAATCGAAGCAATTTTTGAATTTATTTTAGTGCTTTAATCTCCATATATTTTATTGATTATTAAATATATCCTTTTTATATTTATCGATCATTTTTAATATTTATTTATATAAAAAGATTTTAGTATGAAATTATTTCTTGATTATATCCACTTTTTAAATAAACTGTTGATGCATTCAGCGAATTAAATTTCATTTGCACTCGCTCTTTCTATCATAACTCACCGATCCATAAGGTCTGTAGTGGGTCTTCTTGGGATACTTCTTGCTCAAGGGCCGGTGCTTGCTCTCGTTTGTCTGCAGATCGGCGCGCAGATAGCCAGCAGGTCCAAGTCTCACGGGTCCTGGCAGAGAACCCGATGATCCATGTCCCGATCCCGGAGACACCGAACTGAAGTAGCTTCGCCGGTAGTAAGATCTCGGGGGTCGCAGGCCAGAAGTGACCGTTACCAACACCATCGCCGCAGCCAAGAACTGTTGGGTTAATATCCATTTTAATTTTAGGCTATCACTGCGGCTACAAACTGCTTACATTCCAGTACACTTTCATTTTGAGTGGGCTGCCTTTTTGGGGGGATTATGTCTTTGTGAAAAACTCTCTTCAACGGTATTAACCACCAGCGTGGCCCCAACGAAACTGAAAGTTCGGCCAACGGACGCAACAGTTTTATGCCAGCTTCCTCGAACCTGCCGCAACATGTTTTGCAATGGCAATCGCAATTGAAACCTGCCAGGTGAGCTAGTCAGTAGTCAGTGGTATCCACTAGTAGCTCTGCAGATCGAAATCTCCGCTTCACGCATGGACTTACCACTCACAACATAGAGTTAATAAAAAAAGAGCTTACAGCCGCAAACTGAGGCATCATTTGCATTTCCACGAGGAAATAGAGCGATGGGGCAGGGGGCATAAATAAAATGTTTCTTTATGGCCGTAATTACACATAACGATGGCCATTTGCAAGTTGTAACTGCGGTGGGGGATTTGGTTTTGCTTTTGACTTTGGTCTGTGACTTAATCGAAAAGTAAGCAAATGAGATACGCCAAAAGTATGACAATAAAGTTAATAGGCAAAGATTGATAGCTTTTTTCATGGCGAGTAATTTTATTAAGTAGCTGGTAATAAAATATATATAATTTATAAACGATTAGTGATAAATTTTAAAAGATATTTTTATGCTCTCTGTCAAGTAGTATTTAACTTATCAATTAAATTTATCTGCAATCAAATAATTTTAAAATATTCACTTAATTTGTTTGGAATTGATTAGTTGACCATAACATTTTTTAATTTTAATTTATTTGTTATTTAGTATTTTAATGCCAGAATCTAAGCATTTTTATGCCTATTTTCTATCATGTTATATTCTACTTTATAATAAAACTCGATTAATTTGTTTCTTTACTTTCTATTATTTTCTAAAAAATAACCATCTTGAATTAAATTTTTTTCTTCTTTAATTTTCTTGGATACGTAGACTCAATTTTAAGATATAATAATAAATTTAATATTGTTTTTCATTTTCATCTCCGATTTAAGGGCTGACCTTTTAGCCACCTATTTCTTCCAGTGCATAAGGTCTACCGGCACGAGCCACACACCCACTAAAAAAAAGAAGACAGAAGAAGAGCCACCTTATCGACTTATTTGAATCAGTTTCGTCTGCAAACGGGTTTTCACGAGTATTACCCAATAAACGCTGCACTTTTCTTCTCTCCGTCGCCGCTTTTGGCTCGAAGTTCAGGTTCAGCCGGGGCAAAAGCGAGCCAGGAAATGTTCGTCTCTGTTAGCCAGCTGGCTCGGCGTTTTGGCCTTTTTTTTTGCCATTTTAGCCGGTACGCTTGGACTACTTTCTATCGGCCAGGATGCGCGATCGAAATGCGGAAGGTATATGTACCATGTATATGTACGGAGGTAGTTTGTCTTGTCTCCGAGCAGCTGGAAGTGGAAATGGAAAAATGGAAATGGGAAAAATGGCAATGGATATATGGACAGGGACTTGCGTAACATTTCACCACGCTTCATTTGCACAATTATTTTGCACGCTTATCCTGTCTCTAAATTTTCAAACTGAGTTCCCATGTCGATTGGAGGGGCAATTAAAGCGATGCTTTAATTAAATCTCGATTGAAGCCCCCATGGCGTATGATGGATAATTGCAGCACTTGTCTCCAATTTGCTGGCCGTGGTTATTCCACTCCCCGTTTTTCCCAAAGACAAGGTCAAGCTCAAGTTCAACACGCGTGACAATTGCCTGCACAATTGTTGCAACTTTGCTTAATTTCCCGCTTCCTCGTGGAGCGACTTTAAACTTGCACTTGGACTTAAACTGGCTCTTAACAATGGTTTCAGTTTTTTTCTGGTTTCCGAAAGTCTTTCTTTTTTTTGTGAAAGGAGTTGGGGGCAGGGACCTGCGAATGGGAGTAGAAATGGGCATGGCCAGGTGAGCCGCCCAGAGCAACAAGTTGATTGGCCAGTCCAGCAAATTGCCGGGAATTTGAATGAGCCGTTAAGAAAAGCGGCACGAAAGGGTGCCTTAAATTACATTTGTTCGGGCTATTAATGTCCCACCGATCAATCGATTTGCTACGCGATTATATCTTGCTTTGATTTCATATTATTCACAACGATTCCCAATTGATTGCAGGCTTATCAACTGAATTAAGTCCTACACTCAAAATAAATTTAACCCTAAATTTTAGAAAATCGCCCTAAATATTTATTTTTTCTAAATACAAGAAAGTTATTTCTAAATCTAAGGAAATTTTTCTTAAGTCAAGAAAGTTTTTCTCAAATCTAGGAAGTTTTTCTTAAATGTAGAAAATGGTTACCATGAACTAAAATCACCCTAAAATCTAGAAAAAATGCCCTTAAAATTAGAAATAATTTTCTGAAAAATAGAAAGGCAAACGAAAATAATAAAATATTTTGGCAACACTTTTTCTAAAAATGAGTGCCCTAACCCTAAAATTAAGCTAACCCTAAATAATAGAAAAATTTTCTAAAAAGTAGAAAGTTTATCTAAAAAATAGAAATAGTTGTTTTCACATGCTCTGGCACACCAAAATGTTCAATACCAGAACTTGTCAGATGCCGGGCGGCTGTACTCGTAGCGCAGACGGTTAAAGCGCTTGGTTAGAAATCGAATCGACCCTGGTTCGAGTCCCAGAGCAAACTATTTTTTACCTTTTTTTTAAGTTTTTTTTAAAATTTGTTTTTATACCCTTGCAGAGGGTATTATGATTTCAGTCAGAAGTTTGCAACGCAGTGAAGGAGACGTTTCCGACCCCATAAAGTATATATATTCTTGATCAGCATCACAAGACGAGTCGATCTAGCCATGTCCGTCTGTCCGTCTGTCCGTCCGTCTGTCCGTCTGTCCGTCTGTCTGTCTGTCCGTCTGTCCGTCTGTCCGTCTGTCTGTTTCTACGCAAACTAGTCTCTCAGTTTTTGAGCTATCGGGACGAAACTTTCGCAAAAGTCTTCTTTCTATTGCAGGTAGTATATATGTCGGAGCCGACCGGATCGGACAACTATATCTTATAGCTCCCATAGGAAGGATCGGAAGAAAAAAACTTTAAAAAATTCTAGCTTCGGTGTTTTTTGAAATATTACCTTCTACTTTTGGGGATGTTATTTTTTAAATATTTCTGAATTTCGAATTAATTATTTAAAAAATCGGACTACTATATCATATAGCTGCCATAGGAACGATCGGAAAATTAATGGAAAAGTAATAGGAAATAAATTCTAGCTTCTTTGATTTTTATTGTATTATCTTCTACTCTAGGATATGACTCTTTTTAAATATTTCCGAATTTCAATTTTAATTTGATCAAAATCGGACGACTATATCATATAGCTGCCATAGGAACGATCGGAAAATTAATGAGAAATATTAGAAAATTAACATTTTTGCGATTTGTTAATTAATAGGAATGATCTGCAAGGGTATATAAGCTTCGGCTGGCCGAAGCTAGCTTCCTTTCTTGTTTTACTCTTTTTTTTATTCCTTTTTTTTATTGATGGCAAGCGGTAAACCGAAAATAATTTGGTTTATATTTAGCTATTTACTATGTACTACACATAATATAAATTGCGATAGCATAAATATATACATAAGTATATATGTATGTAAATAAGTAAAACGCGAATGGTTAAAATTATGCAATTAGTATTCAAATGTATTCTCCGCTTGACCCTTTACATACAATGCTCGGTTTGCCACAGCAAATTTAAGTGCTACAATGGCCCAGTATGTAGGCCGTTCGCTCCTCGCGCGGGAGACCCGGGTTCGATTCTCACCGACGGACAAGTAAAATGTAAGTTTTTTTCATGAAGATAAAATATTAACTAATCATAATTTCTACATTCCCAATCTTCCGCAGTCCCGTAGTCCACATTTACAACAACATTTGGCTTTGGTTAGATAAGAAATCCAAGCGCAAATACATAATAATAAATACATAACCTTTAACATTCACAATATACAAGACTCACAACGCCTGCATATGTATATAGGGAGGAGTACATAATATAAACGTATATTCAAAAAAAAATCATGATTGAACATGTTTTTTTGTTTTGTTTTTAATTTCTATTTTTTAGGAAAATTTCCTACTTTTTAGAAATTTTTGCCCTTAAATTTAGTAAAATTACCCTAAAATTTAGAAATATGACGTCAAAAAAAATCAAAAATATAGAAAAATGTGACCCTAAAATTTAGGGCGAGCTTGTCTTGAAGACAAAAGTAGGGCGATTTCCTTGACTTTAGGGTTAACTTTATTTTGAGTGTATGTATTTACTGTGCACTTGAATTGTTATTGTGCCTTTCAAACCTTTCCAAGTTCAATGTCTTACTATTTAAATTTGCACCTTTAAAGAAATTAATCAAGACAATATATATCTTTTTATATTACAAGTTATTTTATTAGTTTTAACCCTTAATCTAACAAAAATATAGCTTTTACTTTTATGGCTTAATTGAATGCTTCCCAATTCAAAGTTCATTTGGTTATATATCAGTTTATTAGCATATATCTCTATTATAATAATTATAGATTTTTCTGCGTTGGCTTTAAAAGCTAAATTAATACATGTTCGGATTGCACAACAACCACAGCAATGCTCACAAATTAGTCAAGATCAAGGTTTGTTTATGTATTCAACCGCACAGAAAAAATAACACACAAAAGCCGACTCATTCATTCGCATGTGGGAGAAGTCAAAGTTAAGCAGATGATCGTAAAAGTCTTATAAGTAAGACTCAAAAAGAGGGTTGAGTTGCTGCCGTGCCTAGAAATATTGCTGCTGTTGGTTTAAGTTGCTGCTGTTGCTGCTGATGTTGCTGCTTCTACTGCAGTCGCAGTCGGCGTTTTTCTTAGTTGTTGCTTTCAATTAGCATTGCAGGTTGTGGCTGTCAGCTTTAATACACAGGGAATAATTTACTATTGAATCAGTGCTTCAGTTTAGACCGTGAAATCTTTGATCTCATTAGAAAAATCGATATGATCGAAATGGTATTGTAAAAACATCGATGTTTTTAGTGCGGTAGAAATAATAAATATCGAAATGTCGATATTAACGAAATGGTATAGTGAAAACATCGAAAATATCAATGATTTTCAATCTCTTCTTCAGTTTCGAAATAATAAAAGATTTCCGATTGATTTTTTGATAGGTACTGACTGGTGTTTTTCCTCACATTTCACCTGCATTTCTCCCTGTGCAACTGCATAGAAATAACATGCAAATTGGAGCGCTTAATCTCAATCGGGGAGACCCACGCTGATTCTCTGGCCGGCGGAGCTGCGTCGCGCCTGCGCCGTCGTCGTCTTGTCCATCGGACCGCCCACCATCAAAGCGTCGCCGCTGAAGCAGAGGCTGCTGCGCAGGTGTTTGCGGGGGTCAGAGGGCAAGGGGGGCTCTTCGTCTTCGACCAGCTGTATGGGCACCCCTCTGGAGTTTTGAAGCTGTGGCAATTTTGGGAAGATTTTCCTAGCGTTTGGGCTGGCCTGATAATTATTATTATTATTTAATGGCTTTGCTCGACTAGTTTCCATAAAAGAGCGTTGCTGCTGACGACTTCCTGTCGGCATATTTGGCTGCTGACGAGGTCGACTTTCGTATGTGGGCTCCTCACGATCCTCACGATCATCGTAGTAGGCATATTCCGCAGCCTCCTCATTGTAGGTCACATGTTTCTTGGGCAAACCAGGACTCCGCGTTAACTGCAATCTCCTGACGCGATTTTCCAAATAATCATATGGATCCTGTTCCATTTGCTTCAGTATCTTTTTGGGCTGTGCCTGCAGAGGCAGTGGGCGTGGTCGTCGCCATTCGGGGCTGTCATTCAGCGGCTTTTTGGTGACCTTGGGCTCCTCCAGTTCCACACTGAAACTGCGCACATTTCTTTTCACCTGCAATTTAGGGCTATTCTTGGAATTCAGTTCCACTTCACGTTTGTCATTAAAGTCCATTTGCGGTCGTCTGGCATTATTTTGAGTGACATTATCTGCCTCGTTTACATAATCGTAGAATTGGATTTTTGAGCTATAAGCCTGATGGCGACGATCTGTGGTATCCTCGGATTTATTAACCAATTCTTGGGGTCTCACTTCAGTGAGCTTGGGTGTTATTTCCCTGCGTTGTCCCCTGCCCAAAGGTTTTTTAGCCTGGTTGGACTGCAGATTATCATAGAACTGTATGGATGAGCTGGCAAACTCCTTGTGAAACATTCGTCTGGTGTCAACTTCTGAGGGAGAATCCTGAGTGGAGGTAATCCTCTCCACAGGTCTCTCCAACTGCTGGCTGTTTCTCCGCTTCACTCGATTTTCCACAGCGGAATCCGCCCGGGAATCATCGGGCCAGAAAAAGTGGGACTCCTGGCGATTGCACACCTTCACCGCCTGACGCTCCACCATTTTGGGCGGCAGGCCCGTGTAGAATTTTCCATTCAGCATGATCTTCACTCGACCGATCGGCGACTGATCCGAAAACCGACTGACATAAAAAGAATCCGGCGGAGGTTGAGAGCAAGAAAATAAAATGGCTGAGATGTTGGCGTCGCCATTCAGCGTTGTCACTTCAGTCGTAGGCGTTCGCTTTCGAGTTCGAGTTTGCTCAGGTGATCAACCAGGGCCCAGACTAATTTGCGATTCTTGCGAAAAACAACGCGAGAAGTAAGTAAAAACTGGGCTCGCAGTGTTTTTAAACTATCAGATGCTCTAATATAGGAAAATATTATAAATGTTCATAGCGGAATTTCGCCATTTGGCTTTCAGATATTTGGGAAATAAGTTGGAACATAGTTTTAGGACCCTTGAAATATTTGTTTCTTTAAATCCTTTAGCGAATTTAGAAGAACATATATTATTGTTCATAATATATATTTTTTTCATCCAATGAAGCTTGTTTTTATATTTAAACCATAATTTTTGTGAGTTTACCACGGAAATGACTATTTTAAATCACTTAAAAAAGTGCCAAAAAGCATGCAACAATATATTTTCCATCCTAGAACCCAATGAATTTTTTAATGAAATCTGGGCACCTTTATAAGTATTTTAAAAAACCTTTTTGATATCTGTAACACAAGTTTTCCCTATATTTTTTGAAAATTTCATTATACCCTGTTAAAAACTCTTTGAGTGACTTGTGTTATTAACAACAAACACAAACAGCATTTCGAGGCAGAAATTTATTTGCTGCCAATGCAGCGTTGAAGCCGGCAGCGATGCCGACTGCGCTGCCGCAGAGACGAGTTTCCATCTAAGGTCAAATCGCGGCATTTTTCACTTTTGGAACGAAAAGTTGATTTTCGTGAGCTCAGCCGCTGACCAAATGTTTTGGTTTTTACTTCGGCTTTTGGCCTGTCTGTGTGGACCGAAAAAAGCGAGAATGCCGCCAAAGTTGGCCAGCCAAGAATAATAAACGACAACAGCTGCCAATTATTGGGTGCTTTAATGGCTTCAATTCGGGATCTTTTGGACGCAAGTGAGTGTCACTTGAACGACGCTCAGTATGGCATACACTGCGTATACGTAATATTACATGATTTAAATCAGCGAGGGGCTCATTATTCTACTGCTGTCGCAAGCTGATATATAGAAAAAATTGAGATAAATAGCACACTTTAAACAATAATATTCAAAACTTTAAATTATGCGTAGCAAATAAGAAATAAATTTAATTATATAATTTGAGTAAACAATATTCGTATAAGAAAAAGGGCTGTATGATGAAATAATGTTTCTATGATATATATAACATTAAATTATGTGCTGAAAATAAGAAATAAATTTTAATGAAATAATCTTAGTGAAAATATAATGACGAAATATATGTACTAAAATTGTTTTACTATATAAACTAAATCGGTAATTACAAAATTCCCTCCCTTACCCTTTAAAAAACCACTTAAATTGTATTTAATTAAATTAAATTTATTTTCGCTTGATCTTTACATGGTTTGCCATTGGAATCGAGTGGGGAGATGTGTGGGGAGCTTTGCTGATGGACACAACTACTGCTACTTTTGTTTTTATTTCCATTATTTTTGTTTTGTTTTCTTTTTTTTGCATTTTTAAGTCGAAGACGTAATTGGAGTACGTAATTAGCTTAATGTACAAACAATGCCATGGAAACACATCAAATATCATACACGCTGGGTTCGGGTTCTTTGTGAGTACGGGTCTATGGATGCTACTGCTGGAGGGTCTGAAAACTGCACCTTTTCTCCATATATATCTCAGTGTGGTGGCTGCCTTAGGGGTTAGATGGGTACTATATACGTTCTGCGGGGGGATATGTTAGGTTGCTTACACTACATTTGATTTGCTGACACGGGGGGAACTATGTATTATAATCTGACATTTACAAACTTTAGTTTTGCTGGGTAGTGTTTTTCTGTGTGGCTAAACATATACTTAGGTTCGCTCTCGGCTGCTTAAGACTTTATTTACAATTTGTATTTATAGCTGTTAGGCTGCGGCAAAGCCTTTCTCTTCGATGGTGTTTGCTGTTGTTTACTGTTGCTGCTGCGGCTGTTGCTGCTGCTGTTGCTGTTGCTGCTGCTGCTGTGGGGGCAGCAATTGCATCGGCGACATTACTATGATATTGGTGGCTCCACCGGCTGCATGGCCATAGTCCAGAGGCTTCTGCATCGAATCCACATCGAGATCCGGGGCCCTCGTGATCACACAGTACTGATTGCCGTTGTAGGTGACAATGGGCATGCCGGCGTGTTGCATGTTGCTCGCGTGCTCGCTCAGCTGAGCCTGCATGTAGGTGGCCGCCGTTGGCGAATTGGCAATGATGTGCGACACCGGCAGCGACACCTGGATTCGCGGGGAAAAAGGGGGAAAACGGAAGGGTAACAGAATACAGAATGCGGAAATTGCAGTTTTGGTGTTTTATGGTGTTCAATGTTGCTGTTAACTGTTGGTGTTGCTGTGGGGTTTTTCAGTCTGGTTTCAGTTTTTTAATAGGTAGTTACTTCTTGGCTCTGGTTGTTGTTGTTGCTACCGTTGTGGTTGCTACTACTATTGTTATTGTACATAGGCGCACTGGTCTGTTGCTGCTGCTGCTGTTGCTGCTGTTGTTGCTGTTGTTGCTGTTGCTGCTGTTGCTGTTGCTGCTGTAGATGTTGCTGGTGTTTTCTGGCTGCCTTCTTCCCATGGGCCACATGTTGCTGCTGCTGTTGTTGCTGCTGGTGTTGCTGCTGTTGCTGCTGAGGATGTTGCTGCTGCTGCTGCTGATGGCTGGCATTGAGTATCATCTGGTTTTGTATGATTATCTTCTGCTTGCGTGCTTGGGCCTCCATTTGAATTTGATTTTGATTTGCATCCATTTGGTAGCTGCGATTATTGTTGCTGGTTGTCTTAGCAATGACTCCTGCCGCCGCTGCTGCTGCTGCTGCTGGTTTTGTTGACTCTGCGACTAGCCGTTCCGGCTGTCAATACTATATTTCGGGGGAAAAATATAAAAATATTCGAGTTAAATCTGTTTTAAACCCATACATATATCTCCTTGGCTTTTGTTCCTAACCAGGAGTGTCTACCGACATCTTCTCACCTCCAGATGACTCTTGGCGTGAATGGACCACTCGTCCCGACTCGAGAACATCCTGCCGCACAGCTCGCAGGTCCAGGATAACTGCTGCTGGTGATGGGGTATGATGATGCCGGGAATGGACGCCGGCGCTCCCTGGGCCGATTGCACTATTATATTCTGGGCGGCCACCTGGACGGCCTGCTGTTGCAGCTGCAGCTCCAGACTCTGTTTGTTGTCCTCTGGCGGCGGATCCGGCTGCTCCTTCTTCTTGACCATATTATTTAGTCGTTTTCCGAGTGGCGCAATATTCGTGGGTGTCACGTGCTTGAACTTGTTCATGTGAATCACCAGCTTGTCCCGCCTGGCAAACGCCTTATTGCACACCTGAAATTAGAGGATTCGATAAATTTGGTTAGCGATTGTTGGACGGTTAGCGGTTTCTAGGGCTCGAGGGCAGCTTATACTTCACAAATATAGGGCTTCTCGCCGGTGTGGATGCGCATGTGGATGGTCAGCTTGTCCTTGCGGGCGAGTCCCTTGCCACAGACCGTGCACTCGAATGCCTTGTTGGTGGCTGGAAGAAAAGGAGGGTTTGTCGATTAAAATCTAAAAATCTAAAGTTCATTTATTTATAAATTATCAACAATAAAATCGTTCATTCCGGAATTTAAATAGTGAATTTAGTGAAGGAATTCATTGGTGAATGAATTGGTGTATTTAAAGAATGAGTTGGTGAGTTCATTGGTGAACTTGATGAATAAATTGGTGAACTGTGTGAAATAATTCATTGGTGTATTAAACGAATGAATTCTTTGGTGAATTTAGTAAAGGAATTCATTGGTAAATTCAATGAATAAACTCATTGGTGAACTTAAATGAATAAATTCAATGGTGAATTAAGTGAATGAATTCATTGGTGAATTTAATTAATGAATTAATTGGTGAATTTAATTAATGAATTCATTGGTGAATTTAATTAAGGAATTCATTGGTGAATGATAAGATGGAATTTATTGGTGAATTTAATTGTATGAAATTATTGGTGAATTTAATAGAACGAATAGAATTTAATTAAACAAAGTTATTGGTGAATTAAATCAATGAATATATGATGACATATGACAGATCGTAACCTCTTCAAAAACTATCAATTCAATACTCACACTTTGAGGGATTTGTCTTCCGCACCCCCGAGGACGCCTGTTGCACCTGTTGCAGTGCCTTCAATCGACTGGCGGGGTGCATGGAGCCCCCCTCGACATAGGGCTCTGTGAAGGGGATGAGATTGGGCTTTGGGATGTTGTAGGTCAGTTGCTCGGCCGCCGACCAGGTGCCCAGGCTCTGGAGGACCCTCACCCCGCCCTCGAAGCCCATCCCATCGTCCGGGACTGTGAAGGTGCTCTCCCCCGCCGCCGCAGCTGCCACACTTGAGGAACTGATCTGCGGCACCTTGATTGTGGCCGCATAGTGTTGCTGTTGCTGTTGTTGCTGCTGCTGTTGCTGTTGCTGCTGCTGCTGCTGTTGTTGCTGCTGTTGCTGTTGCAGGTTGCCGTTGTTCTGGCCATTGTTGTTGTTGTTGGTTGTTGGTGAGTTCTGCTGCTGCGAAGTCTGCTGCTGTTTGAACTGAATCGCCGCCTGGGCCATTTGCTGCTGCACCGCCATGTGCGCCTCGAGATATGCATTCTTCTGGGCAACCGTCATCTTGTCCATGTTAACGGCGCCGTTCTGGGGAAAATATTAATAAATAAATTATTTATATAAAAAATATTTTTTGTATTTATAATCAGTTTTTAAAAGAATATTTATTACTAAATCACGGTGGGTAATATGGGTGATAAATGAAAAGAATTTTAATATTTAAAAAGTATGAAAAAAAATTTTTTTCTGATATCTGATTAATATTATATAAGTATAAGCTAGTATGGTCAAAAAATTCTTCCACCTTTTTGCTGGAAAAATTTATTATAGAACCCCAAGGGGCTTTTTCTTGTATTTATATGATTTTAAATAACATCTGTTTCCTTTTTTCACCCTAATATAAATCGTGTTTATAAATTAGAAGGGTATTATTATGATCTTCAAAATGCTTTGTTATAATGTTAATTTAGCGGAATATATTAATATGATCTTTGGGTCTGCAAGGGTATTCCCATCACCGTTAGTCTTTCCGTATGTCTTATCGTCCCAATCCCATTTCGTTCCCGGAACCCCAGCAATGCCACCCCTAACTGTAAATTGTGGGTGTAGTGAGTGGGTGGTGTGCGATTGTGCGAGTGTTGCGAAATTTTGCCAGCGTCGACTGAGGCAGAGGCAGAGGCTCCTGTCACCCCCTTTTGAGGGGGTGAAAATCGGCCTGCCCTTGCGCAAAAATTTGTGACTTGAGCTTTTCCCAAACCAACGATATGCTGGCTCGGATTTTGCCACCCCCTTGTGGTTGTGTGTGTATGCCGGCCGCTTCTTCCTCTTCCGTTTCTTCGGGCTTCCTCTTCTGCTTCTTCAGCTCTTTTTTGGCTTTTTTGGTCCGGAGGTTTGAGGCTTTTCCGTGTCTGCCCGGATTTATTTTTAAGCGCGCTATAATTTAGCCACCAGTTTGAGTTTTGAACTTTTGCCACATTTTTCTGCCGACACTGCACTATGTCACTTCCGTATTTTTAGCTATTTGTCCGTTATTTTATGCCTGTTTTAAGACACTTTTTAGCACTTCCTTAACCCACCACCGCCCCTTTTCCTTGCGCCTGGCCATTGACTTTTTCTTTAGCATTTTCACTGCCAGTTGGTGGGGGTTTTCCCGAGTTTTACCACATTTTCTTTCTTTTCGCTTCGATTTAAGCTTACCACACTTGAAAATCAATACGAAAACGGTAGCTGTTTTTTCCGATTTTCCGCTTTTCCTCGACGCGAATTCGGTGGAAATGCTGAGCCGCCAAGGATTCGCCGTCGTCTACTTCCCAGCGCCTATTGTTTGTGTATGTATTGCGAAAAACGAAACCGATTCACTTTACAGAGAAGAGAATTCTCAGTCGACGCTCGAAAAGCTCTGCCACCTCACACCCCCCGTGGAAATATTATTATTTTGAGTAATTATTTGTTATTTTTGGAAGGACGCAGGACGCAGGATGAAGGATGTGGGTTGTAGGATGCGAGCAGAGCGCAGGCAGACAGATACCAACTGTCGTTTTTGCGGTAGTTTGCAAAGGCGAAAATCATTGCATACCTCACGGCGTCCCAAACGGAAGAGAAAGGAGAAAGCTTTTACCTTTGCTCTCTCTTTTTCTTTTCTCCCCACCCCCATTCCACTCCCACTGTTCCGGTGGTGGTTGCTGGGAACAGTGGAACGAGGGAACGGACCGGCATTGAAACACACAACCGCAAAAACAACGACATCAACTGCAGCACCAACAACATTTCGCAATATCAATTGCTGAGGTGGCTTAAAAGGGGCACAGTGGTAAGGATACTATTTAAAAATTCCTTTATAAAAAATATTACCAATAAATTACAAAAAAAAACCAATATAAAATCAGCCGACTTTTTGTGGGTAGAGCTACAATTTTGGTTATATTCTATCTTTAATTGGTAAATTTAATTAAATTGTTGTGGTTCAGAGTAAGCTTTAAGTTTTTAATGTTTTTTAGAAACATTTTTTAGAAACCTTAAATGGTTGATAAAATGTTTTTTTTGCCTAGATAGGCACATTCTTTATTAACACGCCTCACAAGAAATGTTGTTGTTTTCATGTTGTATGTTTTTTTACAAAAAATCTTGGTATGTGCCTATAAAAATACCATTAATTTAAACCACTGTGCACAGCTTAGGCGTTTGTTTGGGTAGCCAAGTCACTCACCTGTGTGAGGTAGATTATCACCTATCTGTGCTCCAAAAGGTTAATCTGTCTCTTGTTTTCCTATCGGAAATACTCAATCCGATTTACAAGGTCTAGTTAAGATCTCCAAATAAGAAGAGGAGAGATTCTTTGCTAATTCTGAACAGATACCCTTTTTTAATAGGAGTTGTTGAATTTTTAAATTAATAATAAAAGATAATTATAACGCTACTCTTCTTAAAAATGCTATGGACAAATAAATCAATAATTACCAATAAAACTTTCCTTAGATCGATAAAACGGCAATTTGCTGCAATTAGCCCTTGCAAAGTCTATTGTTATCCCTATAATTGGGTTAATTGCAGCCACGTTGCAGGACACTTTGCATTGCGAAAATGTGTGCCACATGCAACGCACACTTTTACGCCAAAAGTTGGCCCATAAATTTAATTTGATTCCATTGTTTGTTTTATTTCTCTATGCAATTTTTTTATTGGACACTTGAAAGGGGCGCAAAGCAGAAAAAAAATTGCCATTTCGATGGCGGGAAGTTGGTGGCTAAAAAGCTGTTGCTCCTGTGGGCTGCACTTTTTGGGGGGCAAAAGGAAAAAACTACAGAACCTCCTTTCGAAATCCTGCGAGTGCGCAATTGCCATTTAAAGGTGGTTCTACTAGTGCAATGGATGAGGTGTTGCTAGAATTGCGCGCATTTCAGTCCATTTTTTTCAATGCTGCAGCAAACAAATGAAGGGGCAACAGGTGTAGTTAATTCTCTGCAGGAGCTTCTTCCGCAGGAGCTTCTTCTGCAGCAGGAGGAGCTTCTTCAGCGGCAGGAGGAGCTTCTTCGGCTGCAGGAGGAGCAGCCTCTGGTGGAGGAGGAGCCTCTTCTGCAGGCGTTACCACTTCGGCAGCTGGCGGAGCTTCTACTGGCATCTCGTCGCCAGCTTCAACCTCTTCCGATTCCTCATCTTGGGCCGGCGGCGGTGCTGCTGCCTCATGGGCACTTTTGTCCGACTCCACATCCGAGCCACTCGCCTCGTCCTCGTGCTCCTCCTCCAGCCCGAACTTGGATTCCTTGGACTCCTGCTCCTCTTCCTCCGGCTGAATTTCCTCGTAGACCACAACCTCCTTCCACAGGATCTCCTCGTCCACACAAACTGGCTCCTCATCGTGAGGTTCCACCCGCTTATTAAGATCCAGTTCGGAGATACAGGGCTCGGTTCGCTCGAATCCGCCGCAGGTGACACACGAACTGGAGGAAAGCAGCATCGAGGAGTGAGGCGAAGTGGATGAGAGGGGTGTACTGCTGCTCTGGGTCTTCTTGTCGCGCGGTGGAACACCCCTTACACTCGGCTTCGGGGCATAGGTCATGGTGGTCTGCTGGGATCTGTCCTGAATGCCCACATCCGGTCGCTGTTGACACTGGTTGGTGACCTGCGGCATCTTTGGGTTGCTGCGCACTAGGTAGTCGGACAAGCGCACCTTCCAGTTCTCCTGGCTGCAGTCCACGTTCTGCATTATGTCGTAGATCTCCTCGAGAAGTGGTTTTAGCATCGGCCGATTGCAAAAGTTGTTGTGGTCGAACATCTGATGGTGTTCGTGAATATCTGAAAAGAAAAACTGTTAGTTCTAAAGAATTCGCGGTGTTAGTTTGGTTATTTTTACAATTCGTAACTTTAAAAGAAAAAGTTCACATTGATAAATATAAATTTATATAAGATAAATTTATAATATTTTTAGTATCCTACTTACAGTTGGGAAAAATAAAGTTGATCTCACGTGCCACACTGTTACTATTTTTGGTAACATGGATATTCCGTTCCAGTTCGGATGCAGAACCACTAAAAATAAAATAGTAAAAAGGAAACCCTATATAATACCATAGAAAACTCACAAATAACAAATCATGATGTTGAGCAGCTCCTGCACGGCGTTCTCCTTGGTAACTATGAAGGCCTCGGAAACTCCCTTCGAAAGGAGAATGACCTCCAGCATAAAGCCCTTTTCGTCGGCATAGTCAGCATAGAATTCGGCGGCAGTTTCCGGGGAAAAGGCAATCCTGCGATTTCCCTGCAGTTGGAAGCCCTCAGAAAGCAACTTCAAAAGCACCGGTCGCCGCTTGTGCAGATAATCCGGCTTTATAATCAACAGGGAATTCTCAAACATAATGTTTAAGAAATATATCAATATCCAGGGACTATGGGGAATTTTCAATAATGTGCTACTTTGTGTTTGTTTTAGTTTTCTTTATGATTTATAAGATCAATGTTCGTATTTTACACAGTTTTCTTTGATATCTTAAACTAGACACACTGCTCAGCTGACTTCGGACAGATCGGGGATATCGATACAAAGTTAGTGGCTTGTGGATTTCGCTAATTCGTAGTAAGTTTTAGTTTTAGTTAAGTTTTACTTTATCTTTCAGCCGGGTTTTTTGAGTGCGTTATAAAATCAGTTTCATCACAAATTCTCCTAACAAATTTAGAGCCAAAAACCAGGGGTACGGGTAACGGAAAGTAAGTAAATATGTTTCATTTACAATAAATCGTTATAGAATGTAAACAGATAGATGTAAAGATATATGCATATATAAAGCGTGGGATCGGCTCCCTCCTTCTTCTATTTTTCGGACATCACAACGCATCGCTTAGGCTATAGGAGAGATAATAGGTCAATCGGGGGTTTTGATGGTTTATATGCTTCCAGTTTACCTGAAATTCTGGCAAAGGCCAGCGAAGACTTCTCGCTATCGAAGCACTTGCCAATTTCGGCGCAGATATGCGACTGATTCACATAGGATCGCTTGGCCAGGTTCTTGATACTGTTGCCATAGATGGAGATCATCTCAGAGCACTGGAAAATAAGAAGAGTTACAGATTTTGCTAAAATAAAAACAAATATAATCTTACAATCTTGTAGTACTTGGCTGGCAAGTTCTCGCAGGCCAGCGATGTCATTTGCAGGGCAGTCACTTCCTCATCCTTCTGCTCGCGCAGGAAGGGCAACAGAGCCTGGGTGACGCCGTGGCACACGCCGCACTCGACCACCTCATCGGTGACGGCCAGGCTGAAGCACAGCTGCAGCTTCTGGCACACCTCCTTGGGCGGCACATCGCTCAGCAGTTTAAGAACGGCGGCGGCATAACCATCTACGAAGGCATCGCACTGCTTGCGAACAGTGGAAGGCAGGCGGTTGCATATGGCCTCAATTGCTCGCTTAATATCATCCTGCTCGGTCTTGTTCTTCAGATCGGCCTCCAGTTTGGTCATGACAAACTCGCAAAGCACGCAGGTGGGCGGCTCCTTGATGGTGGACAGCTGGTTGTCCTTGCGGGGCAGGGCAATCACGTCGTACTTCAGAGCCTCATCCACTTCAACTGTTTTAGAAAGGGATTTTAAATATTTAAATAATAAATTTTATCTAATTCTAAACTCACGATCTCCCACATCGGCCAGGATGCACATGCCCAGCTCCGTGCAGATCAGCTTGGGGTCCATTTCCTTGAGCAGCAGATCGGCAATCTGGTCGCCGTACTTGTCGATCACCTTGTGGCACTTGCCGGCCAACGGCTTCCTCATCTTGTCGCAAGACTGCTCCAGGATCAGCTTGATGCTCGCCCTGGTGGGGTGCTTGCCCACGCGCTTCTCCAGCTCCTTGACCAACTCCTCGCAGATCAGGCAATTGGGAGCGGCGTTGAATCCCTCGTCAAAGGCCAGCTGAGGCGGCAGTTCCTCCAGGGACTCAATATCATTCGAGCTGATCTCCTCGCTGCTCGACTTGTCCTCGCCATCCACATCGTCCTCCAGCGAAATGCCCAAATCGCCGAGGGCATCGGTTGACTTGGCGCAGAGCTTCAGCTGAACGCAAATCTCCTGGGGCTTGAAGTCCGTGATCAGCATGTCGACCAGCTCGTTGGAATAGGTGTTCACAAAGTCCACGCACTCGTCCTTCAGCTTGTCGGGCAGGTGGGTGCAGAGGCCGTCTAGAACCCGCCGGATGTTGTCCTTGGACTTGTTGTCGCGGATCTTCATCTGCGCCTGCTCGACGGCAAACAAGCAGAGCGGGCAGGTGGGTGAATCCTGCTCGTCGCTGACCGGCACCGGGTGGAACACCTCGACGTCGTCCTGCTTGGGCAGATTCTTGGGGCACATCTGCATGTAGGGGCACACGGAGCGGGGATTCAGTCCCTGGACCAGCAGAGCAATCACAGCATCGCCGTACATCTCCACAAAGTTGCGGCACTGACCGGCGACTCCCGACGGCAGTTTGCTGCAGACGTTCTCCACGGTGTGCTTGATCTGGTCATCGGTGGCCGGGGTGGCCAAAGTCTCCTGAATAAAATGCAGCAAGTACTCGCAGATGGTGCACAGCTCGCCGCCCTCCACCAATTCCAAGGGCCTGGCGGCTCCCATTAAGCGATCGATGGGCAGCTGCATGTCGAGGATCTCCTGCTGGCTAAACTTGGGCTCGCTGGCTCCGAGCTGCTTCTTCTCGTGCTTCTTCTCCAGCCTCTCGATGGTGATCTTCACCTGGGCGGGCTCAAGAACAGGCAGCAGCGGCATAATGGGCACATCCTTCGCGGCCGAGTTCTTCTGGCAAATGCCAATCATGCAGCAGGCTCCATTGGCATCCAGCTTGTTGACCAGCGTCTCGTAGATCACATGGTAGTACTGGTCCACGATGCTCAGGCACTCGTCCTTGAATCCCTTCGACTGCTTGCAGAATCCCTCCATCACCTGCTTGAACTCCGTCTCCGTGGTGTTGGCCACCAGGACGTCACGCAGGTGCTTCACCAGCTGTTCGCACAGCTCGCAGGGAATATCATCGCCGGCATCGAGGGCCACCAGCTCTCCTTGCGGCTGCAGCTTGTCCTCCTCGTGCTGGTGATACCTTGAGGCGCAAACGCCCGAAACATGGCACACGGCATCCGTGGTCAGGTGCTTGCTGACATGGTCGTAGATATCGTTGAAGTAGGTCAGCACAATGTTGGCACAGGCGTCGGAGAAGCTCGACAGGGAGCCGCACATATGCAGCATCGTCTCCACCATGTCATCGCGATCGGTGGCCGCGAATTTGGAGTGCATCATGCGGGAGAGCAGGTTGCAGTTGCCGCAGGACAGCTGATTGGGCTGCCAGGTTAACTCTTTCTCTTCGGAGCTGTCGTCTTCATCCTGGGCGGTTCCATCCAGACCCGATTGAATGCCAGCCTTGAACATTTCATCGATGCGGGCACTGTTGCAAAGTCCGGCCACCGAGCAAACTTGCTGGGGTTTCAGAAGGGATACAAATCAGTAGGGGTTTTACAGGGAAGTACCCTATCGTAACTCACATCTGGGTTCATTTGGGAGGCCAGGGCCTCGACCAACTCGGGCAGGAAGTCATCGGCCACCTTGATGCACTCCTTTTGGATGGGCTTGATCGGAATGAGCTTGCAGGAGCCCTCGAAGACCTCCTTGAGCTCCTCCTCCGTCTCGTTGCTCTTCAGCTGATCCCTGGCCTGGGTGACCATATCCTTGCAGATCTGGCAGATCGAGTCCGTGTCCACGGGCACCTGTTGGGTCTCCCAAACGGTTTGGATGCAATGGCGGGTGGCGCGACATTCCTTCGAGTTGCTGCAGAGGAGAAAAAAATATTTGGAATTTCCCTTTGCTATAAAGATAAAACCATATGAATAACAAGCTGATCATGCAGAATGTCGCCTCGTAGATCAAATGACCCGCATTCGTAATCGAATGACCACAAGACAGACGACGAGTCAGCAAAGATCAGAGTCCATTGAAAAGGGAGTAACCCTAGACTCTCTAAGAACGCACCCGCAGCTCACATGATCATGGGGCTAGGGTGTTCTTCAATGGATATAAGTAAATATAAACCGGATACGAAAAACTAATAAATATTTATAAGTGACTGTCATATAGCTTTTTTCAGTCTTAAAGATTGGTCTTTCGAGCCGGATACTGACTCATTTGTAGGATGTTGTTTGTTTATGTTTATATTTTCTTCCCTAAAACCTTTTAAAATTTCGAGAGATACAATACGAAACAAGAGCAATTTACCCACCCTAATGTAATGTAAGGTAATCAATCAATTTATCCAATTCGATCGGAAAAAAAGTGATAATTAATAAGTTATGATAGTAAAGATATAAAGATTATAAGCAGGATAGGATAAAACAATAAATATTTATAAGTGACTGTCATAAAAGAGTGGGTACCAAGTCGATCCGTCTCGAAAGTTTAAAGATTTTCTAGAGATTATTATATGTTTTTAATGGTCTTTTGTTGGACAAGCGCTATATTTATGTTTTCTTCCCTAAAACCTTTTAAAATTCCGAGAGATACAATACCAAGCAATAGCAATTTACCCACCCTAATGTAAGGCAACCCCTGTATTTATTCAATTTCAATCAATTTATCCGGTTCGATCGGAAAAGTGCTAATTTCTATTAACATTAAAATGTGTCTGTGTTGGAACCACCAGGAATACCAAACAAAAGCGTCTAGAAAGCGAAAAAAACAGCAGTGATAAGCACGGAAATAAACAGTTGATATGTATGAATGATATATATGGATATATGTACATTATTCTCTTGGCTGTGCGCATTCACAGATATTGTTTTTTGAAATTTCAGCAGCAATGGCGACGTTTTTAATTTCGTGGCTCTACAATTTTTCGCCGTTAATTGACAAACAAAGAAACAGTTAAGAGCGCCTGAAATGGCGGATTTTCCTCGGCAATTTAAAAATAAATCAATCAATAAACAAAGGAAATACGATTAGTGATAAGCAATGGGTGCTTGACAAATGTTTTCAGGGGCCTATGGATTGTTTTTACTCTATTAGTTGAGTAATCCACATAGAGGCTGTTTGTAAGTTGATCTCGGAGAGTTACACAAATACAGTGGGGATTCTTTAAAGTGAACGAACTTGAAAATATGTATATTTATAGTTGGGGTACCTATTATTTAAACAATTATAAGGAAGTCCAAGTTGGGTTATTTTGGTATATTTACAAGTTGCACTTTTGGATGCTTCCCTGTATTCATTGTATGCCTGTGGGATTAGTCAGAATCTGTTGATAAGAAACAACTGTTGCCGCTTACAACACATTTAGCGATGATAAATAAAATAATTATGCGGTTCATTTGCTGGTGAATGGAAAAGGGAAAGGACGGCAATTCAGTTTCAGAATGATCCGAACTTTGGGATTACTCATACAAATAATCATGGCGATAAAGTTTTACCCCTGTCTGAAAAGTTTCGTCGGCATTTTGTTAATTTGATTTAAAGCGAATACGAAGACAAAGGGAATGCAGAAATATAATATGGGAGGATATGGGAGAAAGAGAGCATTGCGAAAAATACACCAAGAGAAAATAGTTATACAATCAAAGCTTACAAAACTGTAAAGTAAATAAAACAATGTTTGCCCTTGAACTTGGGTGCTTTCTACATTATTTGTCGAAAAAACGGGGGTGATAAAAATAATCTTTGAGAAATACAATAGAGTTAAAAATAAACTGATAAAGATTTTCTAAATTTTGTTTCCAAATTTTTAATGTTCCGAAATGGGATCATGGCTGTTTTTCTAACGGTACACTATCAAAAAATGAGCGCAAATAGAGTGTCATTAGTGTTGGGTTTGCAATAACAGGGGTTATCAACTAATAGAGCTCTATATAGAGCACATACATATTCGATCCGAGTGATAGTCTTATCGGCAGGAAAACAAAAACAAAGAGTCTGCAGTGCAAACAATGGACGAGTAAAATCGCGATATGGAGAGGGGTTAAAAGGGGTTAGCGCAGCCCCTTCGAGAACTTTTCCCCGGGGGGTTCGGGGGGCTCTTTTCGATGACCAAGCGTTTTATCCGGGTTTCCCGTTACTCACCTGAAATTTCCGCACCAATACGAAGGTCCCCAGGTGCACTTGCTGGATCCCAGCAGCTTTTGATCGCCCCCAATGGGCGTGGCAGCGGCAAAGAAGCCTGGGAAAAGCGAGGAAAACAAACAAAGAGTGGATAAGTCGGGGGAACAAAATACGCAATTAGCTATGACTAAACTGTAATCCCCTCCATGAAATTTCCTACTCACCGAAGGCGCAGAAAACTGCCAAAACGGCCAAAAGGCCTGCTTTCTCCATTTTCCCGGTGTTCTACTGTACTTTCTTGTGAGTCGGGGGAGTCGTTTTAGTTCCTCTGTCTGCGATTACGGGTTTATTTCTGGTTTAATTCTGAGCGAAGATTGAAGTGCAATTGCAACGAAGTAATTTTTAGAGGTGGAGAAACATCGATGCTAACATCGATGTCATCGAAAATATAAAAATACCAATATCGATACTTGAGTAAAAATAAATATTTTTATCGCGATATATTTTTCTCCCGATAACGTTAGGAGGATGTCTTGGCTAACTTAGCGAGGACACAGTTGATTACGTTTATTTTTAGCGGTCCGCAAATTGCGCATACGCCTAGTGTGTACCAATTGTATTTACTTAAATGGTATTTAGCTTAATTTTAAATGGTATTTAGATTAATTTTAAATGGTATTTCTTCGCTGAAACTTCTGGGGGCTGGAACTTACGTTCTTCTGTTATCGGCCCAAAACAGCTTCCAAACAAAATGTGAACATGATAAACTTTTTCTTCAATTTGTATAATTTAAAATAAAAAAAAAATTTTAATTGGAGAATAAGTTCTATTTTAATTGTTGAAAATACAAATTGCACGGACAGATGGAGTGGATTTGCTAGTGATCCTTAAATATATTGAAAATATATTTTAATAAGATGAGTATTAAATGAATACTTTTGGGAGTGTTATAGTTTATAATATTTAGTATAACAATAATACTACAGAGTTCAAATTTCATACTGGTTATATTTTGGGTGTACACTCAAAAAAAAAACAGCCCGAAATCGCCATTAAATCAAGAAATTCGCCATGAATTTCAGTCGATGGCGATTTACCGTATTTTTTAGAAAGGAATTTTCTAAAATTTAGAAAAAAATTTCTGAAAAGCAGAAATACTTTTCTAAAATCAAGAAAAATTGCCATAAAATTGCGGAAAATTTCCTTAAATCCAGAAAGTACTTTTCTTGAAAATAGAATTTTTTTTCTTCAAATAAGAAAGGACTTTTTTTATTTTCAGAAAATTTTATTTATTTTAATAAAATGTATACATATTTATTTTACTATTTTATTTCCTAAACAAGAAAGAGAAAAGAAAATAAAAAGGATGAAAAGAAAATTATTAATATTTCCTAAACAAAAAAGGAAAACAAAACAAAAAAGATAAAAATAAGATAATAAATATTTCCTAAGAGAAAAAGAGAAAAGAAAACAAAAAAAGATAAAAATTACATTATAAATATTTCCTAAACAAAAAAGAAAAGAAAACAAAAAAGATAAAAATTATTAATATTAATATTAAGTAGGTATTTAATATATTACCTATTATTAAAATTTACTTACTGCCAAATTATCAACAATACCTGAAATTGAAATTATTCCTGCAATCGAAAATAAAAATTAATATTAGAGAACGATAGTATTTGCGGCCTGCAATAGTATGGCCTTTGCTTACCATAAATTTTCACACACTTACCAAATTTATATTTAAATTTATTTAAATTGCTTACCTATTAATTGCCTCTTAGAGGGATCGCACTTTAACTTTCTTAAATGGGCTCAACACAAACTTATTACTTTGAATGCTCATCCAAAACTGAGCACAAGGGTTCAAAATGCAGCGCAACGCAAGCAACTCTCTCGCGAGAGACTGCATTTCCAAAACAACAACGCAATAAAAGTTACAGCTACGCACAAGAAAATTCTCGATCATACGCACAAACACACATAAACATATACATACATACGCCAAAACTGTCGTCGCAACGCGCCGCGGACTAACCCCTTGTCTTCTTCTTTTTCGTTTCGAAGAAAGAGTGAGAAGCATAAAAGAAATACAAAAAGTTTTTCTTAAATCTATGGTGATTTTCTAATTCTACTTTTTTGTTTTCAAGAAAACATTTTTTTTTAATTCAGAAAAATTCTTAAAATTTAGAAAAATTTACCGTATTTTTTATGGCGACTTTCTAGATTTTAGGAAGGGCTGAAGTACATTTTTTCTTAATTTAATGGCGAAATCGCCATTAATTTAAGAAAACTTTTGGAGAGCAAACTAGGAAAAAGCACCATTGATTTAAGAAAAAAAATCATTTTTCTAAATTTTAGAAAGGTTTTTCATAAAATTCTGTTTTTATGGTCTTTTTTCCTAGATTCAAGAAAACAATTTCTAAAATTCAGAAAATTTTCTAAAATTAAGAAAAAATTTCATTTTATGGCGATTTTCTAAAATTTAGGAAAAAAAATTTTTTGAGTGTAGGGTCGTAAAAGTATCCTTCTATAAAAAGTTCAACACATTCGTTTCACAAATTTACGAATCAAGCCTTAGTTTTCGTTAAATCTAACATCATTTTTTCAGATTAGCCCAATACGGATTATTATTAAATTATCCTTCAAGTAGCAAAGAAGGAAATTAAGTCTCCTAAATCCATAACAATTTTCCAAATCACTCATTCACTCACCAGGCGAAACCTTCGGTTATAATCGATTGCAATCCGCAGATTTAATTACATACTGCCGCGGCAAAACTATGACAATAACCATCAGCGATGTTCTTGAACTTATCGCGGTTATTAATACGCCCCCTTTTTGTGCTTTTTGCTCAGCCCCATCGCTTAACCCCCTTTGGCCAGCTAGCAGGCACATGATTAAATTCTATTGTAATTGCGGGTTAATTGATGTGAGCCTGCCCAGATGTAAAGCTCATAAATGCCGGGGAAAATGCATCTCACTCGCAATTGTTGGCTCAAACACACATATTATTCTCGCGATGCCTATCGGCGTGTAATTCTCGATTTTAGGTGCGTATCGCGATCTGTGTGAGAAAAAGATTCATTGAAGATACATTCGAAAAGAATGCCAGACAGAATTCTCATAGCGATTGAAAGTCGAGGTCACCTGGTGGCCGCAAAGTAGTTGGTTTGGCCAACGAAATGCCAAATGCAAGCGCCGATCTACCGATCTGGCCAATACGGCCATAACATCGGCTATATCTGTGTCAAAACCAACGATTCGGCTGCTCAGGGGCTTAGAAGGAAACCTGAAACCCGTCGTGTTGACCGTGGATTGCAATGCCTGCATTTCGGGTCTTTGGCGGAGTTTAACCCTCTGAAGTGCAATTGAAAAATTCGGAATATATATATTTAATAATGATAAATATATAATAAATACTTATTAATATAAATATATTTTTAAATTTTAAATAGTAATTATTGTTGTAAAAAATAAAATTGGGGTTCTATTAATAAATAGTTTTTTTTTAATATTACCTAACATAATATTAAAATAATGAAAAAACTTTGACTAATTATTATTTAAGGTAATGTTATTCCTTGCCAATAAAATGTATTATTTTCTTTTCCTGACGAATTTATCACATTCGAAAACAGCGGGTTAATGGCAGCTAGACACTGCACTTGACCATTGACAGTGAAGTCTGTCTGAACAAGACTGATATTATGGCAATTAAGTGGACCGCCAAAGAACAATCAAGTTCAACTGTGAAGGGGAAATTTAAGCAATTAACTCGCTTATAAGTGAAAACCGTAAATCATTTGACTAACATTTAATTTTTCAGTTTTTAAGAGCGAGCTAATTTGCAGGTTTTTATCTTTTTTGTATATCTTTCATAAATTTGTTTTAATTTTGACTGCTAATAAGAACTTGTTGGAGTGTTTTTTTTAAAACTTTAAACTTATGTATTATATTTACCATACTTTCAAACCTTAATTTTTTTCCAAGCTATCTCAATTTAAAATCCTCTTCAAAAAGAATTAAGTTGATCCATGAAAGTGAAATTTCCGGTAGTTCACACGCTGGCCTACAAAAATCTGGGGGCAAAGGTATATATAAGGTTGCGTGACCCGCGGAGAGATTGTTACCAAGATTTACCAACTGTAATTGCCGCGATTGCCAAGTGCGTCACATAATTCCCCGTCTAATGGCTAATTGTTTTATGGCCACTCCACCAACTGACCTCTTGGGCAATTTCCCTTCCCATGAAAACTGAAATTTGAACCGAAACTCTAGTTACTCTGGGGTATTAACTACCATAGCTCACTATGCGGAAATGAACTTGACCTTATCGAGGGTCTAAGAGACCGCTAGCCAAAGCCAAATGAGAGTTAATCAATTCAGCCACAACTGCTAGCCATAATTTGTGAGTCAAATGCTGAAATACTGGCCATAATGGCAATAAACGAACGGAACACATCGCACCAATAACAAAAACAGAAACAGTTGAAGTTATAGTTAAGATCTACAACTCTTTTATGGCTCTGGCTTTTGGCGAAGGCTTCTCGACTTCTCTTCTTCCGCACGTAGTCCGTCCAGCATCCAGATCAAGTTCAAGTAGATATTTTGATATCTAGATATATGGATGTCAGAAGTAACCCAACTAGAAGCATTGAGATCTCTGAGAAACTTTGACCCATTGAACTGCTTTGTGAGAAGACCAAGCACACGCTTTTATTGAAAACCAAACACGTTTGGCACGCTTATTTCTATATGATAAAAAAATGAATGAACAACACACGCAAGCGAATAATACTCGTAAAATGTCAACAACCGTTAACCTTTTTGTGCGATATGCAAATCAGAAAAAATAACAACATCCTGAAAAGGGAATTTATTATTTAATGTAATTATGAATAAATAAATTAGAATCAATATGAAAAATATAAAAACATTCCCAAATATGGTTTACAAAATCTTTTTCTAAACAAATTAAATATTTGATTTTAATTAGGAATATTATATCTAATATAATAATATTTATATCTTTTCTACAGGATACATTTTAGATAGATATATTTACTTTATAATCTCTAATAACATTTTATTTTTTATTTACTATTTAAATTCATTATTAAGTTCGGGACGGCGCGAACGCCATTCCCGGCTACCAAAAATAACACGCACGAGTTATTCACATTAGGAATAATCGCAGAGGTCAACTCAGCCGAGGTGCAATGGATGAGTCTCACTCCGGAGGAACCGCCTTCGTGATCACGGTTGACCTCTACGCCAGGTAAGTATGCTTAACTCCGGTAGAATCTAGGGTCTCCTTGAGTAAACTGCTAAAACCAGTTGGGAATTATAGTGAGCTATGGCTGAAATGCTAAAACTACCCTGATTGTTTGGGGGTGACATTTTTTGCAATGCCTACTCAGGAAGTGTAGTGTAAAGAAAATCAGATATTTATGATGTTGATTTAGTAATGTAAAGTATAGTAAATATTAAAGTGCCATTAGCTACTGGACGTCTTGGACTTCTTGACCTCGAGTTAGCTAAAAACTTCTCTATATTAAAAATATATTTATTATAAGAAATACAGCATTGATATACCTTGGAAAAATATATTTAAAATGTTTCCACTTAAGTTATATCACGAAAATATCTTGTTTACAATGGTACTATAATCTTAAATTTCCAACCTTCTTTTCTTGTTTTCCTGCTCCATTTGAAACTTGGCTAAGCAGGAAGATGAATGAATACCAGTCGCATCGTAAAATGCCCTTGATCTTGAAAAATGCTTGAAGTAGAGGACGGCAGGCCCTCCGCATAAGTCATTCACGATGCTCACCGCTTATTAGCACCGACATGCGAGATGCTCGAAGTCGGCTATCGGATTTGGATCCGCTGCAAATCAGTCATGGATCAACTGCACGTAGGCATACTATCATATACAACATACCAACATACTTCAAAGTTCGAACAGAAGACCGAAAACCAAAACAAAACAAAGAAGACCATCATAACAACTATTTGCGAAGGGGAAGCCCCTGAGATACTTTGGTTTTTAAGAGCGATGTTCTCTAATCTGCTGTGGAATTGCATGGCTATATAAAGTGAGCAGAAATACGCAGAATTAGATGATAAAATTGTTAAATGAAAACAGAAGTGGTTTTCGAGCTGAGTGACTCGGCACTTTGGGCAATCCGCTTTTTCCCCCGCGAAGCTGTTAATTCTTATTTAATTAAAGAACGAGTCGAGTATCTCGGCGGTTTCTTCCACTTCCTAGACTTTATTTTCTGCCGTGGGGTTTCGTAATCACTCGATTTCCTAGCCACAGAGATTCAATTGTAATGATCAATCGATTTGCTATCTTATTTTTGTTACAAAAAGGTTTCCTATATGGTTTTTGACCTTTCGCTTGAACTCTTCGACGGTATTTGGTTTTGGAATATGCAAAAGAATCTTTAGAATTGCAGATTGGGGACTCAAGGTCCGGTTCTATAATTTATTTCACGTGGAAATAACAAACTTCTTGATTTCTGGGATTATGTCACAAAATCTCTGGAGAGGCTGGGAGCTCCAAACTCTTTAGCTATGCATCAGTAATACTTGGGTTCTATGGTCTTCATCAGAACAGGTTCCGTGGCTTAGAAGTAGGAAAAAAACAAAACGAAACCCAAAACGCAGACGGCGAATAATAATATTAATTTTGTTAACTAAGAACCCAAAACGAGTTACGCTGGTTCCACCTCTCGATCATCATCAATTTTAATAAGAATGGGCACGAGTTTCGGTGGATGGTGTATATGTTAGCTATGGGTACAAGGAAACTTCCTCCTAACCTTGGTTTACATTTAACATGTGGCAGACAATCGGAATCAAGCTATCGCTAATTGTCTAAGAATCTTCTGACTCACGAAGGTTGCAATCTACCCACCTATAACTTTGATTTCTCAAAGCCCTCGAATCCAAAGCGCTCCCATTGCGAAGTGTCTACTACTAGCGGACATGACAGTGCGTTTAAGCTCGTTTTAATTGCACTCCTATAATGAGATCCGAACCTGCAGTTAATGAGCGATCGTAGAATCGAGCGGCTTTATCCGTATCCCAGTTCCAACCTTCTTTTCACAATGCTAGCCAAGGTTATCTGAAGTTATATCGGGGCGGAACTCAACCTCTCGTCTAATCCTATAGATTTTAATAGTTTTTAAAAAAGGGTTGACATGTAAACGCCCCTCTCAATTGACTGAATATGCAGAGATCTTTTAGCTTTTCAAGTTTGCCATTCAGGCACCAGGGCGAGCATTAAAAACGCTAAATAAGAAATTATGCGAATTAATAACTTCAACATGACGAAGTTTAATTGCCCTTGCAAAAAATTGAATATTATAAAAATGGTTTGCCAATTTTCAGATAAGTTTTTAAAGAAATATAATACCATACTCTTTATAAGAGAACCTACCGGTTTCTCTGAATAGAATATAATACTAGAAAGACTCTACCCATTTATTAAAAAGAAAAGAATTGGTTCAAGTTCAATTTTAATGGCTATTGAAGACCACCACTTATTTGCATAGAAACCAGTTGAGTGGAAAAAATACATGCATTTAAAAACAGGTATAATAAAATAAAACCATTTCCCTTTTCGCATCGAAAAGAGCTTTCTTCTGCGCCGACAAACCTTTGATTCAAATTGAAATGCCCTCTGATGGGATGAAAAAAGTAAGTAATCGTAAACTCAACTGCAGCGATTTGTAGGTCTCATAAACAGACGAAAAGCCCAGTCATCTAGGCAACAATGCGACTGCAAGTCGCTTGTTTTGGCCACCTTTTTTTTTGCCTCTATCTATCTCTATAACTAACACTAACGAACCCGGCTAAGAGATCGAGATACTCACGAATACCGAAGCAGCTTTATACAGCCTCAGACACAATATGCGGTACAAAAGCCGAGAGTTCGCGAGACGAGAGCTAAAAAACCCGAAACGCTTGGCCCGAAATTTTTTAGCACTTCTTTTTAAATTTTTGTGCAATCTCGGATTTTCGGTTAGTTGTCTATTGGAGTTCGCAGCGTTTGAGTCGCCGGGTCCGGTTCCGAAAAATCTCCGTGCGATAAGGATAAATCTCTAATATAAAATAATATAGAAAGTGAAAGACTCTGCGAAGATGTCCTCGAAAGTGATAACCTCGTTAATGGCCGAGAGTATTCTGCTCTCTAAAGTGGGCCAAGTGATATCGGGCTACTCCCCGATAACGGTATTTCTCATCGGATCCATTGTAATATTCCTGGTGGTCTATAACAAGCGCCGATCCCGTCTGGTCAAGTATATCGAAAAGATCCCGGGACCAGCGGCCATGCCCTTTCTGGGCAATGCCATCGAAATGAACGTGGATCACGATGGTGAGTTATTCTTACCTCAAAAATTCTGGCGTATTTGTGGGTGCTCCAGTTAGTGATATTGACCCTGAGTCACTGAGCGTCTCTGATTGCTAGGGCAAACAAGCGGCGACGAGCAGGTGCTAATTTCAGTGATCAGCTTCCCATCGATCTGCTTACTGGGGATCGTAATACCCCGTAGAAAAAAAACTAGCCCAGTGTTAATGAACTTTACTTTCCGAACTTCACTTTCGTTGCCCAAAAGACTATTTTTGTTGGCCAAGTTCGTGGTCTCTTTAAAGCCAACTGCTAATTGATTTATAGAACTGCCAATGGGTAAACATTTTGAAATGCAAAAACCTGTTGGAAATTAGATTGCAATAACCAGGTGATTTATGCATTTTCTGTTTGCCTTTTGTTTTCTGCCTTCTGGTCCGGGGTGAAACACATAATTTAATTAACAAATTTTGTATTTGTTTGCGATACGCCACATCGTCGATTGGCGGAGGCAAACAAAACGAGAAAAAAGTCGCCTGGCAATTGGGCGTGCAGTGCTGGCATAATTCTAATGAATTTTAATCACGGGAAAGTTTTCCACAAAAAACAAAGGCAATAACCTTTAAAAAAAAAATAGAATAATAATTTGTAATTTACAAAACAACCCTGCACAGAAAAAAAATTATCAAAAGTTAATTTCGATATCATATCATATCAGATTGATATGAATAAAGATTAGGTTTATCTCAATTTACATTATTTGTTTAAAAAATACCACATTTGGTATCAAGTTGATATGATTGAGTTGCAGATATTAAATAAGTTAAAATTGACCCTATTTCATATAGAATTTTTTTTCTGTGTAAGACAAACAAATTATAACCGGTACTTTCACATTTTATCTAATTCACACGCAATTTACCCGAATTTATTTGCCGATCTCGAAAAACAATTACCAAATTATGAAGAACCTACAAAAGCGGCAGAAACAGCAGAAGCCAGAAGCCGCTCATAAATCACTCACATAACAAGCTCGCCAAACACTCGATGGAGTGATAAAAATAGCCATAAACTGTGAACACAACAGACTGGGATCAGACTTTAAGACCCAGAAAAAGATACAGAGGAAAAAGAGGTACAAAAGCGGACTTGATCTTGACACTGAATGGCAGAATATCCATCATAATTGGACCCGGCTTCGGTTTTGGATTCTCAATCGATTGAAGGGGGCCTGCTGATTAATTCGCATTCCGCGGATTCGGCGTTTTGCAACCCCCCTCAAACCCCCAAAAAAAAAACAAAGCAAATTAACATAAATTTAAATGCGGAAGCGCAGATACAAGAAACAAATTCGGCTCTTGGCCATTGCAATCGTGTAGGAAATGGATTTGATTTGATAAAACGTATGAAATGCTGCTTCTCATCGATTCGTTTCCGTTTTCTGTTCTTTGTCTTTCGAATCGTGATTGTAAACTTGATTTTCCGCTATTTATTCAAGGGGGTTCTTTTGGGCTCTCTATTACGATTTACATTTAAAAGGTTTACAACCTGCTTTTATTGTTATAACTCAAAAGAACCTTAGAAACCTGTTCCATCAAACAGAGAAATGCCTTGCTAATTCGTAACATCTCCATCCCAAATTGCCTTAGCACTTTGAGGTCGCCAGATAATCAAAAGACCTGCTCAAGAATATTTCTGCCAAGGCAATCGAGCCGCTTGCATATAATTTATGGACCGATTAGCAGCCACTGAGTTTTATTAATTCTTTTTTTTATTTTCTTATAATTTAATTTAAGAACGAATCTTGACTGCTGCTGTCTGTTTGCCCGTGCAATTACGAGGCTTTTGTTAGAGCGCTAAAAACTCTAAAAACTCTGAAAAATGAATATAAAAATGAAATATGATGTTGCAGCAATTCTGGCTGAAGGTCAAGCGGTTCTTGATCGTTCTCGTATATATTTTCCAAGATACCTCGGGCCGTTGAAGAGGCCACTTGGCAACATTTGGAGTGGATGGCTGTGGAAACGGGTTTCCAATTCTAAGTTTTCTGAGTTCTACTGCCAACAAATCCGGGGGTCATGGTTTTTTTTTCTATCTTCTAAGTGCTTGTGGGTGTTTTTGGGTAACTGCTTTTTAATCTGCACTACCAATGTCAGACGAATGCAAATTATTTCAGCTACGCAGCTGACGTATGCCTTAAAAATATCTGTTGAAAACGGGAAAATTCCCTGGGTGGGGTAACAAACGTATCACTGTTTAAAAACAAATAGGTTTGTTTTCCTAAGTGATACGATCTCTTGAGTTTCAAATTAAACATTTGAAGGCGTGTTTTCACTTTTAGCTATCGTTTAATCTTTGTTCTGGTTAGGAGCACAACATCACTTTCATTTTTAGCAAACACGAGTTTCAGTCTTCTATTTATTATTTCTATTATTATTATAATAATATATAATAATATAATAAAAACACATTCACTTTTCATGTTTCCCAACCCACAGTTAAGTGCAGTAAATTTTTAGATAATTTGTTTTACTCCCCGAATTAATAACAGGCAAATAGAGCTCACCTAAATGATAATAAAGGTACGCATAGACCGGCAAAAGAGATTGCGTGAAAAGTGCTTTGTTTTGGCCCTTGGACCAGTCCAAATTTTAGCTGGCCAGCTTCCAACTTCCGATGAAAGAGCGGGCCAACCTGACCAAAACTCACCTGAGAAATGCCCCACCTGAGAAATGGTCGCGAAACAGCGATTTCTGCTTATTTTTCGGGCGGTGGGGTTACATAAAATCATTATTAGACATAGAGATTGCTGAATGGCCCGCGCATCGTCTTTTTTTTGCGTTTTGTGTTTCATCTTTTAATTAATGCAACACATATGAGCTGCGACACATAAACATGGACACCTTTTGCCTTATGCGAGTGGTCTTTACATGGTTTTGTCTATGAGTAACGTGTTTTGGCCACAGTGTTTCGGGTGAGAAAAGCCCCGGCTTATTAACTGGGCCACGAAGAAAGCAATTTAGGCGACCTTCAAGGGGTCGAAGAAGGGCTGCAGCCAAGCGAAAACAATTAATGTGACTTGTATCTGTACCTGGAAAATGTACAAATGAAATATCACCTTTACAAATTATTTACCAGTAATTCAGATAATAAGAAATTATTTAATAATTTAATTGGGTAATAAAAATACACATCTTCTTCTGAATAAATTAAATTAACTCACATTGTTGCTAACGCAAATCGTTCTTCTACCCATTTTATTCCAAGCCAACCAATCCAAACTGGTTTTTGATCATCTCCCATTATTATTTTTTGCAGAGCTCTTTAATCGCGTCATCGGCATGCAGAAATTGTGGGGCACGCGTATTGGAATCAATCGTGTTTGGCAGGGAACAGCGCCACGAGTGCTCCTCTTCGAGCCCGAAACTGTCGAGGTGAGTTTATTCTAGTTGGAAATCTTATAAATATAAGTGACATAATTATATATATTTTTTAGCCCATACTGAACAGCCAGAAGTTTGTGAACAAGAGTAGCGATTACGACTACTTGCATCCTTGGCTGGGAGAAGGTTTGCTCACCAGCACCGATCGCAAGTGGCACTCACGCAGGAAGGTAAGAAAAATATTAAAAATAAATACAATAAATATAGTATAGCATAAAAAATGTTGTTAAAAAAATTGAGGATTGAAGATTTATGTTTTTTGTTATTTTATACATAAATCAATACAACAAATAGGCTAACAATCATTTTTATTTCTTAAATTACATAAAGTAATAAATTGCCTTTTGAGTGGAAAATCTTAATATATAAAAACATTTTTGATTTAACTTAAACAGTATTTTATTCACATTTATTTTATTTATAAATTTTTCTATTTAATATTATTCTACTAAAATTATTTTTAAAGATCCTCACGCCCGCCTTCCACTTTAAAATCTTGGACGACTTCATTGATGTTTTCAACGAGCAGAGCGCTGTGCTGGCCAGAAAATTGGCGGTGGAAGTGGGCAGCGAGGCGTTTAACCTGTTCCCCTACGTCACGCTCTGCACTTTGGACATTGTTTGTGGTGAGTGTCAATGCCGCTGGAGATCGGGTATAGTGTCCAGATCTCGGATAACATTATTCGTGGCTAATTACGACGTATACGTCATTTAATTCACAGAAACCGCCATGGGTCGCAGAATTTATGCCCAGAGCAATAGTGAATCGGAGTATGTGAAGGCGGTCTACGGGTAAGAAATTGTCAATTACTCGAAAGCAAGATGCGAAGTTTGCATGTCTCAGATTTATTAATACCAAAATGTGATAAAATTGAACAAATTTCCTGCATCACGAAAAATCTATTTGTTTCCATTGATATCCAAATTGAGGCAAATTACTCATAATCACTTAAAGCAATTGGCTTTTCATCTTGTTCGGCAAGCCGTTAAGTGTGAAAGATTTTCTGTTACGGTTTCAATTACATTCATAAATGCTACATATAAAATTATTGCCAAAGAAATACTATTTATGCTTCTATTATTTTTTGATCAAAATATATGGATATTGTTATTAGCTAAATCAAAGCCATTTCCTTTCTGCTTGTACGATTGGTTCACAAATGTTTTGAGTTATAAATTGGTTAGAAAATGGAACACTTTCTGGCCTCTGATAAAAATTGACTTAATGGAAATGTGATATTAATTAAAATTAAAGCAAATTACTGGTTATTTAGAGCCATAAATTCGTATTGTTTTCATATTAATTCATAAATACTGTAAGAAAAATATAAAAGCTTGAATATTTAGTCGATATACAGCCAGTCGATATGACCGCCATGGACGATGTCCTTCCAAAAAATTTCCAACCGATTTAAACCAATTTCCACTATTAAAATGAGTTTTAAATAAATTGCAATTCGGCGCCATAATCAATTGACGATCATTATTTTTGAGCAGCCTGAAAGTATGCTTATTACCGTTTACGGCTTATGTCTCGACTAGATCTCCGAGATCTCAACCTTTATACGGACGGACATCCAAAATACCCTCTAACTCTACGAGTATCGGGTGTAATTATGAAAATTGATACCCTATTGTTTTCCGATAATGCTGCATAACGCAGTACAATAATTTTCCTATCTGTCTGCACTAATAAAATATATCATAAAACCAGGCGACCACTGGGAATAATAACATCAATAGCAGACGCAACTCTTCCTCATTTTGCGAAGAGTTATCAGCATTGTGGCAGCAGTTTAATATCGAGAGGTGTCAGAACAGCTGTCAGGGAAAGGGACACCCTTTAGATACACATGTGCTTCCGCCACCGCCCGAACCCATTTCCCCCATTTTCCCTCCATTTCATCCATTTTCACCCAGTGCGTGAGCCAGTGGGTGGTGGCGGTGCATCCAAGCGCAAAATATGCGAGATTAAGATGTCAATGGGATGCTTGAAGTGCTTCCAAGCTGATAACAGACAGCATCGGCCCACACTTCTCTCGTTCTACCAGCCACGCCTCATAGAACTCACCCATTGAACAGTTGACTAACTTTCAATTTAACGCAACACTTTTCCATTTCCCATTCCCATGTAGTAAAATAGAAAACTTGAACTTCATTAAAAACCATTGGGAAATTTAAGGGAATTTTTCATTGCCTATTTTACACTTTATAATAATTCTAAAATTATAATTATACATTTTTATATTTACTTTTAACCAATTTATTTAATTATTTCCTTAGCATTGGTTCGATTGTTCAGAGTCGTCAGTCGAAGATTTGGCTGCAGAGCGACTTGATTTTCAGTCTGACTGCAGACTACAAGCTCCACCAGAGCTACATAAACACTCTGCACGGATTTTCCAACATGGTGATCCGCGAACGCAAAGCAGAGTTGAAAATTCTCGAAGAGAACAATAATAACAACAATAATAATGAGCCCGATGGCTATGATGATCTGGGCAAGAAGAAGCGTCTGGCCTTCCTGGATCTGCTGATCGATGCTTCTAAGGAGGGAACAGTGCTTTCCAATGTAAGTTATTGAATAATAAGAGATTTTTTCTAGTATTTTTCTAATTTTTAAAAATTATACCCTTTTTTTAGGAGGACATTCGCGAGGAGGTGGACACTTTTATGTTCGAGGGTCATGATACCACTTCGGCTGCTATTTCCTGGACTCTATTCCTGCTGGGCTGCCATCCGGAATATCAGGAGCAGGTGGTGGAGGAACTGGACGCGATCTTTGGTGACGACAAGGAGACACCGGCCACCATGAAGAATCTGTTGGATATGCGATACCTGGAGTGCTGCATCAAGGACTCGCTGCGCCTGTTTCCCAGTGTGCCCATGATGGCCAGGATGGTGGGCGAGGATGTAAATATTGGTAAGGATTTTATTGAGTTCAAAAATCTATGAAATGCTAAATAAAGCAATTTTCTCACAGGTGGAAAAGTGGTTCCCGCTGGAACCCAAGCTATCATCATGACTTACGCTCTTCACCGCAATCCTCGGGTTTTCCCCAAGCCGGAACAGTTCAATCCGGACAACTTCCTGCCGGAAAACTGCGCCGGTCGCCATCCCTTCGCCTACATTCCTTTCAGCGCAGGACCTCGCAATTGCATTGGTCAGAAGTTTGCCATTCTGGAGGAGAAGGCCGTGATTTCCACAGTTTTGAGGAAATACAAGATCGAGGCCGTCGATCGGCGCGAGGATCTCACTTTGCTGGGCGAACTCATCCTGCGACCCAAGGATGGCCTAAGGGTTAAGATTACACCAAGGGACTAAAAAGTCTTCCCCCATTCGCTTCGATCCAAAGTACATTGTAAATAATTAGAGTTAACCGGATATCATAGGTCTAGAGAATAGTTTATGTTAAACTTTGTAACCGACGCAATACTTCTTAGCCTAAGAATAAACCTCATTGAATAATTTTTTAGAAATATCATGAGAGTGTGTAAAAAAAGTCAACAGTCGCTCGATTAATTCCATAGGCATACCAGTCCGAATGGAAAAGGTAATCACCATGTGGAAAGTTAAGTGCTCCGGTTATTTGTTGATTCCAAAAGCTCGTGGGCAGTTTATCAACTATAATATCATGCTGAAAATTATAAAAAAAATGTTATTAGTAGATAATTTAGTAATGACTAAACTTACATCGAAGGGGCAAGAATGGTTCATGTTGGAGTGATTTTTAAAAAGCCCGTGAAAGAAGCCAAAAATCGGGTTCGACTTGGGGTGTTTAAGGAATTTGCATGCATCTACCGTGATATTATAGAGAAAAGGCTTGTAGCCATTATAGCGCTTCAGCAAAGAAAAATTAACCTGAAAATAATATAGAGTTTTACACATTATGCTTAATTTGTTTTAATTTTGTGAATAACAAACCTTTATTTTGGTGATGGGCACTTTGTATAAGTTAACTTTAAGCGAAAGGTACTTAAAGCTGCGATTAACCGACTTTAGATGGCAATACTCGAATTCATCAAATTTCTTATCCCAGGAGGTGCACTTGACATTAGTAAATTCGACCGACGAAGATATCTTTAAAGGGAAATCTAAGTGTGTTGTTATAATTTATTTGACTAGGCTTACTTCCTTGACCAAATATAGGATCAAAACAATTTGGTTTAGTTTTAGATATTTGCACATACTGGCTTTTGGGGAGTCTACTAAACACTGGCCTAAACTAAAACTATTAGATTAATAATAAAATCCCTCAAAACTCATTAACAGATTCAGAACCCAATAAATCAGATTGTGTATCTAATTTCATAATAATGTTATTTTAATTTTTCACGGTCTAACGAAACTATTAATAGATCCTGCATAAAGTTATGATTTAGCAATTTAAATACATTACACGTGCATATTTTATTTAGCCTCTTAGTTGGTTCTCTTTTACTTACATCTCATTTTAGAAGACGTTAAATACTTAGTAAAGTGAAAAATATACTTTGACATTGGCGCGATTAATATCATAGGCTATCCAATTCGTTTGAAAGAGGTAGTCTCCTGTGGGAAAGGGCAGAACCTCGGTTACATGGGTGTTGATTGCGTTGATGGAAAGTTTTTCAACCACTATATCTTGCTGGAAATAGGATATTTAACTTTTGTAATAACTTTAAATAACATTTGTATACTTACATTAAATGGGCATGAATGGTTCATATTGGAGTGATTCTTGAAGAAACCATACAAATATGCTGCAATGGGATTAGATTTTGTGTTCTTCAGAAATCGACAGGCGTCTACGGTCACGTTATAGAGATATGGCTTATAGCCACTGAATCTTTTTAGTAATTCTGCGTTTACCTAAAAGGATTCTTGTTGAGACCATACACATTCGTAATATTATCTATTAAATACACACCTTTGCTTTGGTTATGGGCTTCTTAAACAAGTTAACCTTTAAAGACATGTATTTATAGGTACGATTCATAGATTTAAGGTAACAATACTCAAAGTCAGCGAACTTAGGGTCCAAGGAAGTGCAAATAATGTTGGTTAACTCCACTGTAGCTGTGATCTAAAATATTATTTAAATATTAATGTTCTTTATTATAATATTTTCTTACCTTTTTAATTAAATACAGGAGAACAATGAGTTCAACAAGACGAAATCGGGAAGGCATTGTATACAACAATGATGCACAGTTAATTTTTCAATATATATTAATAACTATATTCTAGCTCACTGCTATTTATAAGTATATTTTCAATTTAGTCTATCTACAAATGACTATGATCATTAAATAAAAATTAGCCTCCTTATCAGTGAATAATTGAAAAACTATTCTCCTTTTGTAATGTGTATATTTATACCACATTTCGCATGTTTTATTTGTGTTTGATCTTCCATTGGATAAACTATAAAATATTTGACCTGGAATACATATTTCACATTTCAAGAAAGATAGAGTGGTTATTATTAAAATTCACAAATCTAATTATAAGTATTAATATCATAGTCCATTTAATATTTTAGAACTTAGTTTGGGATTCCCCCGTATAAATACATTTTTCAGAAATAAAATATAGTGGATTTTGGGTCAATACTTGTTACGAACAGTTTATTAAGAAAGAGTGCCGTAGACCCGAACTTCCGCTCGATTTATATCATCTGCTATCCAGCTTGAATGAAATTGGTAATCTCCGAGGGGAAATGGCAAAACTTTTGTGAACTGTGTATTTATAAACTCGGCGGAAAGCTTGTCCACAATAAGATCGTGCTGTAAATAAAATATTTCTAAAATAAAGTCACAATTGGATTATATTTTACAGACATCAAAGGGGCAGGTGTGATTCATGTTGGAATAATCCCGAAAAAGACTGTGGAAAAATCCAAAAACTGGACTTGACTTCGGATGTTTAAGAACTTTGCAGGCATCCACAGTAATGTTATAAAGAAACGGCTTGTATCCACTGAATCTCTTGAGCAGTGCAAAGTTAACCTTAAAAGAGAACTTATTTCATGTTTTTAGTGTATATTTTTTAAACCATACCTTGACTTTGGTGATAGGGACCTTATATAGATTCACTCTGAGCGATATATATTTAAAAGTACGGTTTACGGACTTCAGACGGCAGTACTCAAAGTCGTCAAAATCCTTATCCAAAGTTGTGCACTTTATGTTAGTGAACTCCATCTTAGAAGTAATCTATAACGATACCTTGTTAAATGATTATATTTTCCTTAAAAATGAGATTACCTTTTCCACTGAATAAAGTATCAACAAGCATAAAAGAATATAATTCGAGGCCATCTTAAAAAATAGAATTTTAATTTGTTGTTAAAACCAAATGTTAAACAATTCAATAAATTGGGTTCTACCGGCTTGATGTCTTTCTTATTTGAAAAATATTGCATTAGTGATCCGAGTTGTACATTTTTTACCAGCCTGACTTCATTTGTTTTCTCCATTAACTTAATAAAGCAATTATGTACGGGAATTAAATTCAAATTAGCAATTAGAGCCAAAAATTGTAAAATTTAACTACAGAAATATTGATAATTTCCCATTAAATGTTAAGCGAAAACAGAGCACGGAAAAAACAGTTATTTATTTATTTAAAAAGGGTTTTTAAAAGTTTTTTTTGCAAAACTAAATAAAAACAAATCGAAAACGAAGCCAACTAAAAAGTGTAATTGAGTGAAGGAAACTATTTACACGCAATTAAACAAAATTTAGATTTGTGTGTTTGATATCAAAAGAACATTAACATAATTTTGTGGTTAATCAGATAACATTAAATTGATCAATTGAAAATATTTTGGCGAACCCCTAATTACCTAAAACTTTTTGTAACCAAAGGTAGTGAAATAATAATAGCTGCAGCTTAGATATATACATAAATGGATTTATTTAACTTCAAATATATTTAACACTTTTTTCTAAGTTCTAATCAATCAAGATAATGTAAAATAAATGCTTGCCGATGCTCGCAGAATATCATAGGCAAACCAGTGCGATTTAAAGAGTATTTCGCCCTCAGGAAATGGTAACAACTCCGTTAAACGCGTATTAAAGAAGTCGGTAGTAAGTTTATCCACAATGAGGTCGTGCTAGGATAAAAAATGATAGGACTCTCAGTTACTAAAATTAAATTATGGACTCACATCGAAAGGGCAACAATGATTCATGTTGGAGTGTGCTTTGAAAAATCCGTACATATATGTCAGCACTGGGTTAGATTTAGGATTTTTCAGATATCTACAGGCATCCGCAGTAATGTTGTACAGAAGAGGCTTATATCCATTAGATCTTTTGAACAATGCAAAGTTTATCTAAAAAAACATACTTTTTTTTATAAACAAAAATTATGTCGGCTTCATTTTTATACACACTTTAATTTTGGTGATGGGAATTTTATAAAGTTTCACTTTAACGGATAAGTATTTATAGCTCCGATTCACCGACTTTAGATGGCAATATTCAAAGTCGGAAAACTCGGGATCGTGGGAAATGCATTTGATGTTGGTAAACTCCAATTTGGAAGAGATCTAAAAAAAAATGTACGTATGTTTTTTCGAATGTGATTATATTATGTTAAAGTAGAACTTACTGTCGTGAAGCTATAGAGGATCAGGACGACCTGAAATAAATGAATATAACCGAAGCGCATTTTAGGTTGTGGCTATAAAAAATATAACTGAAATGGATATCATTGAAAAGTTTTTGAGGTTCATAATCAAGCCAAAAATGTTTTCATGCCAATTATTTTAATAAGACCTAAAATTACTTTAAATGCCCTGTATTTAAAAATCAAATTGCTTAGGCTAATACTAAAAACGGAAAACCAAATAATATTTTTTTTTTGTTTTTTTTTTAATAATTATTTTGTAGTAAAATGGAATAGTGGATATCAACAAATGGCGCCATTTATCTGTTCTCTTTTGCCGCAACTATTTATGAACATTTATGTGAGTGCCTGTGCCCTTTTCCATAATTTCTTTTTTCTTATATCTACATATATTTTTTTTTTTGCAAAATGGAGCGGCGCCAGAGCTTAAAGGCAACTTAAGTGTGCTCACAGCTTGTAATGCACAAATAAATGCGACGTACAAACAAATGGGTGGTGCGCGGTGGTCGGCCATTGGTTATATGTATATCTAAATGGATATTGTGCGCATATTTGCCGGGTCTGCGTGTTAGATAACTCGAATCGGAGTCGGAGCAGGAAAAGATAGATAGAGCCGGCCAGATAGATAGATAGTTAGATAGATAGATAGCTGGATCGATAACCGGCGGTGATAAGCGACCAATGACGACTCCTCCGCCGGAATGGGCGAAAAAGACAAACAATCAATTAGAATGGCAAAATCTTTGCAAATGCAATAAAAATCCACGGAACGCAAAAGGGCTTAAAAAGTAATTCCCGAGCTAGAAAATTGTGGCTAGTGGTAAAAAAGGGTGATCACCATCGACTGGGTGGCGAAACAGAAAAAAGAGCGGAGAAGTGTCCCTGAAATCATGACGATCCCTATCAACGTCTGGTGGAAAAACTCACCCACTTACGAGCGGTGGCAATAAATCGATTGCCACTGCAACCGCATTTTTATATATGTAACATATCATGTATATATGGTTTTATGCATTTACAATGCCAGCGATTATTGTTTGTTTTAGTTTACGGCCGGACTTTAAAACCAATCGATCACAATTGGCCAGTGACCAAGTGAGTTATGTGTGTCATGTGAACGGAAGTTTTTCCGGAGAACAGACCATCCCAAACCATCCAGTAATTATTTCCCCGGGATGTCACTTAACCGGATTGCGCCTGCGACATCAAAACAAATTGCACTCCCTCGTGGATAGCACACAAATCTGATTAGAAAAACATTTACAAACGCAAATCGCAAGTTAGCAACGACGTTATCCTGTCGGGAGAGGGAGGAAAAAGGGGAGTTGGACCTCGAACTCAGAACCCAAACCCACCCTGACATAATTTGATGTGTGAACTTTGGACGACCCACGATGCTCCGATGGTTGGAATGGTATGGGTATAATTTGATTGACGTCAACGCGCCCGGAAATTGTGGGAAAAAGAAAGGCAGATACACTGTTAAGAAAATATATTCAAAGTAATAGGGAGCTGAAAAGTTTAGAAAGAGTATATGAATTATTTTATAAGAATTTATATGCCTCCTCCTTTCAAATTAATCAGGCTTATTTGATTACTACTTTTCTTAAGAAAAAAACTCCATTATAATTCATTAAATATCAATTTATAAAACTCGACAAAAATAAAAAAAATCCATCCAAAAAATGTTTCTGAATATTATATAAATACGAATTAAATACTAAAGCTGAATTTTAAATAATAATCCCTCATTTTATTTCTCTCAGTGCAGGAGAAGGAAAAGTTTCGCAGTGGACCACAAGTGGCGGAGGACTCTATCCGCTTCTGTGGCAGGTAGTGGTATCCTTCTTCCTTCTGCGAGTCCTCTTCTGTCCTCGCCAATGGAAATGATATCCAAACAAACTCAATTTGGTTTGCTGCCAGTGCCTTTGATAGATTAGCAGACAAAGCGAAAGAGGCGCGACTGCAGCGACACGTGACCACCAGTTTTGGAAAGGGATGGCATGTGGGTTGGGGTTAGTGGGTGGTGGGTGTTGCAAGGACACCAGCAATCCCGTATTCGTATTCCATTTGGGCGAGCATACAAAATTGATTTGGTTGTAGCACAAGCAAAATATTTGCCAACGGCAGGCAGCCATTAAACAGCTGCTGCTGTTGCTCCGAAATTTGGAAATTCTGTCTCCTGATTTTCCAGCAAGGACACGTGCCGGGTGGTGATGGGTTGCACTTGCCAACGCCGCTGTCACGTGCCACAGGCGGCAAATTAAACAAGGCAAAGCGCAACATGGGAAGCAAAAGTTTAACAATGCAGAAAATTGAAAAACAATCAAAAAACCCGGCCGCAAAAGAAGAGGAGGGCAGTGAAAGTTAAGTGCCGGCCTGCAAGCGAGTATAAAGGACACGGGATGCAGGATACAGGATACAGGCTACAGGATTCGTATACGCTTATATAGTCTCCTGTTTGCTCAGAGCGCGCGCCTCGTTTCGTCTCACTTTATTTGGCCATAATTAGCTTAATGCGCGCAACAAACAAACCGGAAAAGGCCGGGGGTCTTTCCGGGGGAAGCGGAAGTGGCCGTGTTGCCATCCAAAAAAGCAAGCTGGCCATGCATGTCCTTGCCTGGCATTTAGCCAGGCCAATGGCAATGGCAAAGCAAACAAATGTCCCAGCAACGTGAACCAGGAGCAGTCCACAGAGTGCCAGAAAAAATATCGGAAATTAAAGAAGACTACAGGTCGAAGGCGGAAATACTCTACAAAAGTTAATACTATTTTAATTAAATTTTAAAAACAATATTAAATGATTGAGAAATATTTTTTATCTATAGCCCACTAACAATGTTTCCAACTTATAAATATTTAATTTAATAATATATTTTAAATGTGAGTTTTAATAGAAATACTAGTTAATTATGGATAAAATTAAATATGGATATTATTATGTCTAATTCTATAAAGTGATTATAAAAATACTCCTTAAAATTGTCCAACGTTAATAAAACTTTTGGTTTTGTTATACAAATTTTCGTTCTGCTCCCTTTAATGTATTCCAATATTTTTTCGGTTAATTTCAAAGTCAATCGACTAGGTGATACGCTCCAAAGAAAGAACATTGTCAGAAAAACGGAAACAAGGCAAACAGAATGCACGGAAAAAATTAAAATCATTAATCCCCTTAAAAGGTTCTTAATCTGCGGCTGCTGCTGCTGAATTTTGTTGCTTCATTTGCCGTCGTCGTCGTCGTTGAGTTTTTGCCAGCCATTCGTTGAATCGTTGCCCCTGCATTACTCATACGCAGCGTTGCCAAGTTGGGTTCCCCGATGGTTTGGGCCCCCCGTCCCCCTGCCTCTGTTTATACATTGTCTCCTAGTTTTTTTGCGCTATATATATTTTTTGCTGTCAATAAAGTGTCCGTTGGCTGTCATTATCATATGACTCTGAGTCAGCCGGACAATCAGCTGCCAATTTTGATTAGTTCTCCTGGTTAAGTGAGATTATGTTCGATCTTTGGCGAAAAAAAGCAACGACCCTGGCCAGTTTGGAGAAAAAAGTTCCACATGCAACAGTTGTTGGCTGTTGATTGCCACCTCCGTCAGCAACTGCGATCGTAAATTGAGCAAACATTTGTGGCTGTGGAATTGCATTGCAAGTTTTATGGCACTCTCCAGGGCCCACTATATATATGGTATGTATATATATCGCACGATTTCGAGTACGAGACGAGGGCAAACAGTTCGCTTTATGACTGGCAAACCTCCCGCAGTCGCAGCCGAGTGGCAATGCAAAAACCTCCTCGCAATCAGCAAAATGTAAATAATTTCACTGCGACCCGAAACAGAGCGTCTGAAAAGTGGCAAAACAAAAAGGCAAACCTGACGCAAATAAAATAATAAATTTTATACAAAATTGACAAGCTGGCTTAGCCGCAGCCACAGTTACTGATTACTGATAGCCAACCACTTTCGATGGAGGCGCTTTTGGTGGTAGAAAAAAAACTGGAGGGCAAAGGCGAGATATAGTATACAACTTACGGGCACAGCACTCTAATAAACAATAAACTATTAACAATTAACAATAAACAGCTGGCATTTTAGCGAAAATCATACAGTAGCCAGTTGGGTAGTTGGCTTACTTTGGGCCATAAAAAGTTAAGCATTTAATGGCGAAATTAAGGGCAGGCGAAGGTTGGCTTCTGAATTTGCGATAGTTTTGTTTTTAAAAGGAATAATTAATTTAAATTAAAATTTCACATATTGAATTAATATTTTCTAACTGTTTAAAGATTTAAAAAATAATATTTTTAAATAATTTTATTATCCATCTGAGCCAACCTGAACTTTTAATTATATTATATCCATCCACATAATAACAACTTAAGCATTTAATGACGATGGTGTTGTTTTTAAAAGGTAAAAGGAATAACTTATTCAAATTAAATTGTGACATATTAAATCTAACTGAGTAAAGATTTTTAAAAACATTAATTTTTAATCATTTAATTAATATAAAATCCGTGTGAGCCGACTTAAACTTTTGATTAAATATTTCCATCCACATAATTATAATTACCTCTCCTTTGCATCTCTAAATACATGATTTCTTCGGCATAAATGAATTTACTCCTAGACTTAACTTTCCACCAGACCCACGGGAAATCTAATTAATTTCACCACCCGAAAATTATGACAGGGGAGGATGGATAGATGGATGATGTGACACCACTTGCACCCTTATTTCCGAAATGAAATCAAAACGAAAACAAAAGGAAAACTTATGTTCCGCTGCCATCTACAATTGCACCTCCACCTCCCCCAACCGAGCGTCAAAGAAAAACAAAGCTCTAAAAAAGAAAACAAAAATAAAATAACAAGGAATTTAAATTGAAATTATTTATTTTTGCATTTTAAAAGCGTTCGCGCGTGTCAAGGATTTCTCACGCGCACCAGTCAACCGGCAAAACGATGACAAACCCCTGGTACACAAGACACAAGTACAATTTAGTCACCCCTCTTCGTTTGGCGGGAAAAAGTATACGCGCCTTT